CCTCCCGTGATCATGTTGATAACACCACAGATGGGCCGCTCTATTGATGGTGAGTCTCGAGGAGGCTGGTCTTTGTTTTGGTCCCTGTTCGATTGTGGCACTTTTCTTGGTTGGTCAGAAGGTCATCTTCGGTCCTCCCGCTTGATGAGCTGCTTCAAATAACCTTGGTGAATCAGCTCCTCAATCTCATCCTTGAGGTTACAACAATTCTCAGTGTCGTGGCTGATGTCCCGATGGAAGTGGCAATATTTGTTTGGGTTCTTGTTGTTAGGGTTCCTTCTCATCCGAAGTGGCCATCGGATGTACTTACTCATCTTGATCTGCATCAGAATCGCTCCCCTCTTTGCGTTCAACGTGGTGTAGTTACGGTTCTAGATGGGAGGGGTGTGAGAACGCTAATTCAAGGACTTGCTACTTCTGTATGTAGGCCTCCTTCTTCTCCACAACGACCTACTACGACTGTTGTGGGGGGGGGACCTACTGTGCCGTGGTGACTTGCTCTTCCAATACTATTTGCTGCTCCTCGACTCGTCTTCTGACCTCTTCCACTTGTCGCTTAGCTCCAATCGGGATCTGAGTGCTTCTTCGGCCTTCGTAAACTTGGCCGTTTGGTTGAGAAGTTCCTCCATAGTGGTTGGAGGGTTCAACTCAACCTTCCAGTGCAAGTTCGAATACCGGACACTGTTGATCATTGTGGTGAGCTGGGCAGCTAGGCTGAGATTGGGAATCTGAAGCCGCTCTAGGTTGAATCGTTTGATGTAGTCCCGAAGCTTCTTGTTAGGTTGCTAGACAACATTCAACAAACAAGTCATCAACTTTGGGCGCCGCTTGCTCATTGCGAAGTGTGTAATAAATAGGTTGACGAGTGGTTCCAACTTTTGATGGAGTTCATGGCCAGCCCCGAATACCACATCCGAGCTGTGCCCCGAAAGGTGGTTGGGAAGGTCATGCAAAGACTCACGTCGTTTGCCCCGTGTAGCTACATTAGGTCCTAGAAGTTGTTGAGGTGGTCAACCAGGTCAGTTATCCCGTTGTAGGACAGGCTAGGGGCCTTGAAGTCTTTCAGCCGTGGGTTCATAAGGATCTCAATAGCTAGTGGTGAAGTTTGGGACACTGGCTATGCTGACGAGGTGCCGATCTGACCCACCTCCTTTTCTTCCTCTTTCCTTTCTGCCTCCTCGTTGTCATTTGGAGTGAGGTGACTCGTTCCTGTGGCGCAACGTGTGCGTCTGCAGCGCCTTCTCTATGACCCCTTGGTTGAGCTAGTGGCCTCGGTCCTGATTGGTGATGTGGGCCTGTGGCCCAGCATAGTTCCTCAACTGAGACCTGGTTCTAGTCATCGAAACGATGAGGTGGGCTAGGTACTGGGTTCTAATTTTGGTTGTCAAGCCACTGGTTCTGGTTTTGACCGGCATTCTACCCAGCGGCCTGATCTAGTTGATGCTACTATTGTTGTTGCATCCCTGCTAAGGCGACAAAGTGTCCTTCCCATGTCCTCGTTTGCAGGTTTATCCCGTGGATGTACTGCATCATCTCATTGAACTAGTGCACATCGATCTCGACAGGGACTACTAAGGGATCAACTGGCGGGAGAGGTGCATTAATGTTGAGCAAAAGGAGGTTGGGATTCTGAATGATGGGGATGCCTGGTAGGGCCAGGGGCATGGTAAACTACCCAATAGTCACAGAGGGTTTTGGGGTGCACAAAGGGTTAATCTTGCACCCCTATGACCGAGTTGTTTTTGTTAACAGGGTTGTTGATGGGAGTGTTGCTAGAAGATTCCATTGAGGATATACTTGGAAAGGAAGTGTGAGAGTACGACTTTCGTGTAGAGTTTCCCACAAACAGTGCCAATTGATGGTGCGCGATCTAAAAGCTCCTTGTTAGAGGATAGCTCGAACGTCGGACTATGTAGGTCACTTGGTTGAGTTGTAAAGAAAGAGAGAAGATCATAGTACCCGGGCTACTTTACCCAATGTGGGCACTTTGATGCTTAAGTCAACCAATCAGAGTTTTTTGAGAGCTAGAGAGCTTGAGTGCTAAATTGTGCATACCTTATGAGGTCGGAGGTGAGGCCCTTATATAGGCGAGCTTTTGTGAGCCTCACAAAATGTGTCCAAGATCTCTGGCATGTCTGGTTTGGAGGTGGTTTCACGTCTGGAAGTGGACTTCATATAAGCAAGTAATGTCTATCCAATCCTGCCTGAAGCAGACAGGGTGATAACCAGCTCTTCCTTTGTGGCGTTGTGATCCTAGAGATTTTGGAGGTGATAGCCCGATTAAGGGGGAGGTCGCTCGACACATCAAGCAGTTCGCTAATTGGAAACAAGTTAAATCAATGGAAGCAAGTTGCTTCTTACTTCAACTTGAGGTCTTGCCTAGTTGTTCGCAGTTAGGGGTGGATTCGAGCTGAGTCGAACTGAATACTACCAGGCTCGAGCTCGGTTCGAGTAAAAAATTCATAAGCTTGAGCTCGACTAGCTCAAGCTCGATTTTGAGAACAAATATTTTATAAAAATAAAAAATTATATATAAAAATATTTTTTATTTGATATTTAAAAAATTAAGAATTATAATATTTTTATTATATATTATTTTCTATAAATTTATTATATATATATATATATATTATATTAACTATCATATATATATATATATATATATATTCGAGCCGGCTCGCGAGCCTCACGAACCAAGCTCTAGTAAGCTTGAACTCGACTCGTTTAATAATCAAGCCAATAAATTGGGCTCAAGCTTGATTGAAACCAAGCCAAACCGAGCTCGAACAGCTCATGAAAAGCTCAGCTTGTTATTACCCCTATTCGCAATTCAGCCTACTAGGATTGTGTCGCTGATGCAGTTATGAAGTGTCTGAAATGCTCTTGGATCGATTTACGTGGTGCCGAAATATCAATCTGCTGTTCACAATGCTACGTGTCAAATTACCCCTCATCTGACATGACCTCAAGCAGATTGGGATCCAGTGTATTAGTGCTGCCTCCTTGATTCGCCATTACATGAACATCCTAATTCATGAGAAATTCCTCACTAACGAGTTCATAAGACATAGCAAAATAACATGAACCCATTTAATAAAACGACAATACGGAAAAAACAACCAAGAAGACTTATTCTTCCTCATTGAATTTTCCAAACTCCACTAAATTGTAGAAAGACAAACAGATCCCAATACCCATTGACTTGTTAGATGTACGAATAATTCTTAGTTTTCTTACCTCCTAAGAATCTCGATTCTCGAGAGGGTACTTGCTTTTGACCTCAAACAAAATCTCCCTCTTTTTTTGACGCTGCTGATTCGATGGATAGGATGACGATCGGGAAAAAAAAGACTTTTCTAAGATGTGATGTACAAATCAGCTCTGATATGTAATGTACGAATCAGCTCTGATAACCATGACGTGGCAAATAAGACTGGTAATGTAGAAATCAGCTCTAAGCTCTTTTTTTCCCCTTCCCTGATCTCTTGTAAATTTTGTTGCTAAACTAGGGATGATCATGGGCCATAAGCCCATAACCGCATGGGCGGGTTAGCTTTGGGTTGGTTTTACAGCAACATTTTCAATCTACTGTTGACCCAAATTGTTCAACTATCACCCGGTCATTCTAGATCCGGTTTCAGACAACCCAACAACCATCACAGTTTGTCTATTTTAATTTAAGTGCTCATAATGGAGGATAAGTATATATTAACAATTGAGGCCCTGGGTAGAAGTAATAAGTGGTTTAAGCACCCATAACCACTGAACAACAGAACGGAATTATGAAACAGAACTTTCAAGTTTCAACCTTACTTTTAGTAAGATAAAAGCAGATTCATTGCTTTTGCATATAGTTGAATGACCGAATTATAATTTATCATCACTTGGCCTTTACCAGAAAAAAAAAATGAGCTAATTGATTAAATTGTCACAAAGGATGTAAAATAAAAAAGATGATACTAGTGATAGGATGTGTCCCCAATGCACAAAGGAACTTTCAACTTTATAGCTATGCATTTGCAACCGTTTTAGACAATAACCATATAAAGTAGATGGGTCAGGGGTGTTATAAGTTTCAAATGAATTGATCCCTAAATCAAATTGAAATTGAACGAATAGAATCAAGGGCCCACCTTGCACTAGGTGTACCGAAGAGAACGGTGGGCCTCAACACCCAGTGGAGATATCCACAGAGCGATGCTGCAACTTTACAAAATTACAATGTACTGTCTCCTGGCCTTGAACGATTTGGCGTGCTGGCGCTATAAAATAATGCGGATCGAGACATTAAGTTCATATGTTTTTTTTTTTTTTAATGAAAAAAATGGATAAATTTGCTATTATTTCTGTCTTCTTAGTTCAGATAACTTGTTTTTAAAATATTCCATATTTTCCCTTCCAATCCCACAAATCAAAACAAAGTATTCATCATAAAAGAGGCAACACATTTACCTTGATGCAGACAGAACCCAGGACTTTTGCTTTAAATGCTTTTCATCCCTGGGTTTGGACAACCTACTCCTCGAATCATTTCTTTTTGCCCTTGTGCAGTACTTCGACTCGGTTTGGAAGGAGTACAAATATAAACCTTAAATTTTATATTATTTTGCATGTATTTGAACTGTACAAATTTGTATTTGAACTCTTTCCAAACTAAGCAGACCACTAATGCGCACAGAAGTGAACCTAGAAACTTTGACGCCTATAGACTTTAGAACCATTACACAACTTGGTTATTGAGGATGATATGTATAGCTAGGTTCGATGTCTTTCAACCCTATTTAAAGTTTATGATCATTTGAATCATAAAAAATGCATAGCTGCGCCTGTAACATCTGAGATCAACCAAGTTCATACTGCCTGCAAGTTATCTTAGAAAAGATGGGCGACTGAAAACATAAACAAATTTCAGTGGCAACCTAGCTCCCTCTGTAACTGCACTACTTGAGGAATTACCCAATCCCAAATCTCACTGCCTAGGTATTTGTGCCAATGTCGACTACACAAGAGTGCTCAAGTTCCAGAGAAATTCATTGATATATATAACTGTGAATTCATCATATAAATATACATGTAACAACACTCTAGACCCAAGCACAAAACCATGGGATGAGAGGAATTACCTGCTCAAGTGATAAAAGGGGACATAGTTCTGTTTGCATGTTCAGAAACTAGCCATTTTTAGTAAATAGAGGTGCCAACAGATTCAAGCTTCAAAATAGAAGGCATCATCATCTACCTGACTGAGTAATCTTGAACATACATGATTATGAAATGAAGGCCTTGACAAGCTCCGAATAGTTGCATACAAGACCTGTCCTTGGACAGGTCACTTTACCATTGTTCTTCTTGGCCATTTCTTCAAGAGCCTGCCACACAGACAACAGGTAATAATCAAACACAATGTTTGAGAACCTAACCAGATGTCAACTGCTGGGACTTATGGCCACAGTTTGCCAGTTTAACCATCTTCATTATACCAGAGAAAACTATAAAGGCGAAAGTGAAAGAAATAGACAAAACAAGAGAAATGTGAGGTAGGGGAGGAAACAGGATAAATTTCTTATATAGCACAGAAGGTTAATTTTTAAACATTGTAAAGGAAGTTTTGCACTAAAGGGTGTCTCGGTGATGTTTGACTAATAAATGTCCAAGTTTCACCCAGAGCTATTTGGCAACCATTTCAGTCTGAATGGTTTAACCATCCACCTGGGCCTGCTTTATAAAACACTAGGTAGACACTAAAATCCACAACCATTTCATTCGCTTAAATGCAGACCTTTGTACTGTAAACATAGCCATTGGGTAGTACAAGTGGTGGGTTCTCTGTATCCATTAGCTCTTTGGTGATATAGCACACAAGCTTTGAGTGATGTTGCTTGGAGAATGGTAATGACGATGCCAGTTTCCGGAAGCTCTCCTGTGATAGAGGGTCTTCTTTGGTGCAATCATCTTCATAACAGAATCTAAAACATGCTAAGGAAAAGGAAGATCATTCTCATAAAAATCAAGGACGCACGCATGCATGACATCTCTGTATGAATGATTGAAAGAGATGGCATGACATCTTCATTGATGCCATTGTCCCAGCATTAACCCACAATATGGTTCCAATGCTGGGATGCATCATTCATGATTTTTGTGGCAACACTTTACTCTGAACAATTATCAAAAATAATACATTGAACTCTGAACCTGCTTTGAATGCAAATATTAATTATAGGCACAAGGGAGCTAAATAGATCTTTCCCCAATAAGGAGTGCAGATGCATGAAGCAAAAAATTCCCAATGAGGCACAAAATATGGATACGGAGTCTTGAGAGCCGACAGGCCTGCTTGTAAATAAATATTCAGCAACGGCTCCAGGGTCATGCCGTATAACTTGCAGAACTCCTGTTTGAACTGTTCCACAAGGTAGTCCCATTGCCTTGGTTCAAACAAAACCTATCAAATACAGAACTGAATTATATTTGATTTAGCAGTAATGGTATAATTATGCAATAAACAGATATAAAGAAAACCATATAGATACATTTACCAATAATTATTAAGATATTATGAACACTGGCAAGATCAGATTACAATTAGATTATCACTAACGCGCAAAGAGTAAAATATTTTTGTGTAGATCCCTTTTACATTCTGTTGGATAATTTGGGGAAAAAGAAAGAAATAGGAGTTAAGGACAAGAAAAAAACTGTTCCCAAGTTTCTGATTGGTTGTTGGTTCATTTGGTCTTTGAAGATGCAGGTAGAGATTCATCTGGAGCTGGAGTTTGTTCTTCTCCTGATACTGTGGTAGAAAATGATTAGTTTATGTTTTGTTTACTGGCTTTTCTGGGGCTTATGCATTGGGTGTTAAAGCCTCACTAGCCTTTTATTTTTTCAATAAATTCTTTCTAGAAAAGAAATAGAAGTCTGGTGCAAAGTGCAAAAGAGTTGGCACTGCTGCCAAGTATTGGCATGGTTGATTCATTAGTTCTTTAGTGTATAGCACCAGGTATCATGCATAATTTGTAAATACAGGTATGAGAAAAAATATAGTCTTGAGGTTTAGTTATACTTCATTTAAATAAATAATTGATGTTAGAGAAATTCATCGAAAAAAAAGGAACAGAAAAATGTTGTTGATTTCATTCAAAGAATCAAGTAACATTAAACAAGCAGAATATAGAAAAGAGGAAGAAGAAAGAAGGCAAAGGTAAAGAGAAAAATTGAAGGCCAAAAAACATCTGCCAACGCCTTACTTTTTTAGGTCTTTTGATAATGAATAAAATTACAAATTTAACCCTGATTGTAGAATGAAAAACTGCTTCTACAAGACATAATAATAAACTAACCAACACTCTTCATCAAACAGAGTATAAATATTATACATGCCCAACTTGAATAGGTTATTTTCCAGTTTGGACTTAACAACTCCCTTGGAATATCAGCCAACTATTAGTCACATTTGACGAACAATAAGCATACATCTCCAGTTTGGACTTAACAACTCCATCATGTGTGTGCTCTTTGCTGGAAGAGCAGGGAAAATACTAACCATCTACTGTTACAATGTCCCTATGCTTCTAGACTATGGCAGCTCTTCCTGTTGCTGTTTGGAAAAACTTGGGTGGCACCAGATGCAGTAGTTGATCCACTCAAATAAGATGTTTTTAGTGGCTCCACTCAAAGACAAGAGATTCTTTGGCAATGCATTCACGGTGAAGTGCTATAGGGTTTATGGTGTGAAAGAAATGTGAGGATTTTTTAAGAAAAATGCAAAACTGCAGGGCTTGAAGTTGTTGGTTAGGCAGGAGTTAAGGAACGGGGAAATTGAAGGTGACTGTCAAATGGTTATAGGCTGGATGACAAGGCAAGACCAAACTCCTTGGAAGTTCAGACCTTTAGTCAGAATGGCTCAAGCTCTAGGTGCTGATTTGAATGCCTCATTCAAATAGGTGCCTAGGAATGCCAATATATTGGCTGATTCTCTGGCTAAGGCTGGGGTTGTAAAATCTTGTTTAGATTGGGGATGCCCAGGACTGGCCACTAATGTGTAAAATGTAATTGGTGCTGTTTTTCTTTTTGTATTTTATTTTTTCTCTGTTGTCAGCTGTGGATGGCCTCTTCGGAGGCCCAGCATTGTATGCTTTTTTGGATGTACTTTTTGTGTGCAGCTTGGTGTTTAATGAAAATTCTCCCTTTGTTGCTTATAAAAAAAAAAAATTCTCCATTTGCTACTTGTTCTCTAATGAAATGTCTGTCCACCTCTATAAGTTTGGTGCAATCATGCTGAGTAGGATTGTGTGCAATACTGGTTGCTGCTTTGATGTCATAGTAGAGTTTCATAGGACCATCAAACATAATGCTCAATTCACCTAACAAGGTCCTCAGCAACTACAAGTGCTTATTGTTCCTCTAAGAAACAATATTACCACCTACAAATGCATAAATAATTACATGTAGATCACCTATCATCCAGAGAGCATCTTTGCATCTAGATGAACTTCTATCCAATGTTTTAAAACGCGGAGGCGTGAGGCATAGTTCAGAATGTAAGAGGGGCATAAACCTCCCAAACACAAGGAGGTGCAAGCCTCCTTAACAGGAGGGGGATGAAGAGGAAGGAAGGTCTCATTTTTCTTTATTTTTAATAAAAATCTTTTATATTAAAAAGAATGAAGATGCATAGCACTAGTTGAGGTGTGCATGAGGGGCTTTCCTTCCCTTTCCTTTTTTTTCTTTCTTTTCTCTTTTTTTTTCTTCTCTTTCTTTCTTTTCTTTCCCTTCCCTTCCCTTTCCTTTCCATTCTTTTTTTTCCTTTTTCTTTCTTTTTTCTTTTTTGTCTTTTTGTATGAGGTGTGCATGAGGCGCATAAGGCTTACGCCTCTAGCACGCCTCATGAAAAAGGCTTATGAGGCGTATGCCTCAGAGGTGTCAGCGCCTCTAGCCTACACCTCAGGGTCAAGGCGATTTGGGGGCACCTCGCCTGGAGGTGCACCTCCAGGCATATGCCTCCCACGCCTTTTAAAACACTGCTTCTATCTTTTGATGACCATAAGAAAGAATAGAGGAGACCTATACCTGGTACCCCCGTTAAGCAATATAGCATTTTGTCTACAACTAAGGTATAAAAGCTTTCCCACTACATAACCCATGTCTATAAACACCTCACCATCATCTACACAACTTTTTTTGAAACTGTAAGGTAAAGTAATTCATTAATATCAAAAGGCCAAAACACAATAAAGCCCCTGAAAAATGAGAAACTGAACAGAGGATGACCAATCTGCCCAATACAGCCACCCCCCCCCCCAAAAAAAAAAAAAAAAAAACTACTCCTTACAAAAAGGAAATCAAAATCAAAAAAAGAACAAGTATGTCTATTTCTGAATAAAGGGGTGATTTGCCAAATAAAATCAAGCTAGCACAGAAGTTTTGACTAACAAATTTAAAACACAAGGCAGCAGGCTTGAGATAGTTCTTTATCCTATTTTAGATTGGAGTTGAGTTTTGAATAAATAAATAAATAAATAACCATATAACTTTCAAAGTTAGTTCTTTTCAGTCCCACATTAGGCAGAGCATGGAGTTACCATGGAGCATGGACTGAACTGAAATAAACCATATATGGCCAATCCATGAATGATTTGAATGCTTTGGGGAGCATTATCTTCTCTTTTTTTCTTTTTTTTTTACTTAGTTATTTCCCCCCAAGTCTCCAGTCCCATCCAATCAGGCCATTCCACCAAGCTCCAAATTAAACAACCAACTCTCTAACCATGAAATGTGCTATATGAAGTGACACATCCAGGCAGAGCATGGAGTTACCATGGAGCATGGACTGGTGGACTGAAATAAACCATATATGGCCAATCCATGAATGATTTGAATGCTTTAGGGAGCATTATCTTCTCTTTTTTTTATAAATTTCTTTTTTTTTTTACTTAGTTATTTCCCCCCAAGTCTCCAGTCCCATCCAATCAGGCCATTACACCAAGCTCCAAATTAAACAACCAACTCTCTAACCATGAAATGTGCTATATGAAGTGACACATCCAGGAAAGCATGAAGTAACTAATCAAAAATAGAAGCTTGGGAAGACACCAGTATATTTAGGAAGAGTGAAAATTTATAGAACATACTTCAGGTTCACTTGAATAATGCATAAAAAAACAGAGACCAAATCAATGTTCACCTTGTACTTTGGGCATTCAGTATTACTCCTAAAGGCCAGAGTTGCCATGACATGCTGCAGTTCTTTCATATGGGTAGCCCCCCATGAGGATAGGAACTTCCTAGCATATGTGATAGCTCGCAAGTTGTTATCTGCTCGAACCAGCTCTATGAACTCTTGAAGTCTCAGTTGGAACTCAAATATACTCTATCAACAATAGCAAATTTGAGAATTAAACAGGTTTAGTTTCAAACATGTGCAAATTGTTGCATAATCAACAATTTCTTAAAAAATCATTATCATATCACTGTATAGTTTTGTAGGAAAATAGACTGATGTCAGTTTAATAATGGTCATCAAGGAAGAACATTTGCCATCTCACATAGCAGACATTTTTCCCTTTTTTTATTGGAAAACAGAACAAATTTATTAAAAGAAGAGATAAAAAAAGAGCACAGCAGCAATAATGAGAAAGGAGAAAACAACCTCAAATGAGGCAAGACAAGATTAAAGCAACAGCAGGCTAGGATAAACAGAAAGTCTTTGCAACCTGAACTTTTTGGATTGGTAGCTTGTAAGATTTTATTAAGTTGTGAAAAATGAATAGCAAAGTACAAAGAAGATATTGTAACAAGCACCTCATATAAAATTTAGGCTAGCCCTAGCTATTGCCCCAGTATCTAAACATTTAATTTCCTATTAGGGTAGCCTCCAAATAGAATTGACTTCTGATCACGCCCTGCCTTGCCAATCCATCAGGCATGCTATTTATTGGCTGATCTATGGGTACAAATAAAATATGTCTTTGGTTCTCTATCCAGGCTTCTCACTCACTCCCATGACTGAACTTTTGCACTGCCAAGTTCCAAGACTTTCTTTTTTGGATTATGATTACCTGAGAGTAGTCCCCTTCTACAACAATCCACTATGTTCAGTTGTTACCCCAATATTAATCCTTGGAACACTGCTAATAAATCAGCTTTGATTGAGTCACCTTGGCTAATAGGTCCTGAGTACATAGCCAAAATTTCCTATTGATGGTTCCTAATTCTTAAAGACACTACCAATACCTAAGGTGCATGGATTGCTCATGATTCACCTATCAAAATTTTCTACCCATTGCTCATCCATACACTGTGCACTCAGTAGCTCAACTTTTCTTGGAAAATGTATCCAAGTTACATGGAATACCAAAAACTATTGTGACTGGGATCCTGTATTCACTAGTAATTTCAGGAGAGAATAAGAAAGTTACAAGGGACCCTTCATACCACTCACAATCAGAGGGTCAAGACTCAAGCAGAGGTTTTGAACCATTTCTTGGAAAATTACATGTTTTCTAGCACTTCTCCTAGGACATCTTAGAAGTTAGAAGACTACTTAAAGCCTTAAAAGTGTTCTCAAAATGCCTTCTCATGCAGTATATCTAGGGCTGTTCGTAAGAAGGCCCAACCCGAGTCGGCCGGGTTTTCATCAGCACCGGTCGGTTTCGGGTTGTACAAATTCATAAACCGATGGTTCGGGTCGGTTTCAGTTTTCTTGTGTAAAAACCGAAACCGAACCGAACCGACTTAGTTCCTACTTAACTAAAAACTGAAATATCTGAAAATATATATTCCAATATCTATATCTAAAAAATATATATTATGAAATATGTCAGATATATATTTCCAGAAAATATATATTCCAATATATTTGTATGTATATTTTTGTTTATATATATATATATATATATATATATATTTCTAAAATACATATTTCAGTTTTAAATATATTTCCAGAAAACTAGGTGGCCATGGGGGGCATGGATGAACTTAAAACCGAAACCGACCCAACCCGACTCAAACCGACCAGGTCGGTTTTGCTTAACACTGGGTCGGTTTCGATTTCCATCTCAGGTAACCCGACCAGGTTGGGTTGGTTGGAAAAACCTCAGTAAACCGACCCAACCCGACCCGTGAACAGCCCTAAGTATATCATAGACAATGGTATATATTTATGTGAAATTCTGTATTGCAGCTATTGCCTTATTTGAAGAACACCAACCTGTTGGCCAACTAGTCTTGAATTCTAGAAACATATTCCAGCCCTTTTCTTTGCTCTTAGCATAATTACATTGTTATAATAAAAGCAAGGGAGGAGAAGGAAAAGAAAAGGACAAATTACCCAAAAAAATAGTCAAGATTCTTCTACCAGTTATACAGGAAAACTCCACACCCCTTGGGTGAAACATAAGAACATCAACAAATGGTTCAAGCCTCCCCCAACTATGAAAAACCTACTTCAAAAACTCAGGGCCCAGCAAGAATATGTTGATGAAAAAGAACAATGTTTGCATATACATAACTTGTGGACACAAGCACACCAAAACAAAGAGAGTAACTCTATCTCTCTTACACTATTCATATGAGGCTCTGCAGATTCTGTTCCTTGTACCACCCCCCCCCCCAAGTTGGAATACCAAGGCAGCTCAAAACCAAAGCACCGGGTTTATCTCTAGATATTGCTCTTCCAAAGCAGTTCCTCCAACAACCTTTTGCACATAGCCCATCCACTGTTATAACTCCATCTTTCCTACCTTCTTCACATGCCTTCTCTATTTCTTATGCTTCACAATCATGTTCAACCAACAGAAAGAAGTAATTAATTGCATTTTCAACCCCCTCCACCCTCCCCAAAAAGAAAGGAAAAGAAAAAAAGAAAATTTTCAATTCCTTATGAACTCAGCAATTAAGTTTAATGGATTCCAAGGTGTTTATTAGCCTTGATTCACACCTTCACCTTGTTCATTTATGCAGTACCCACCAACTCAAAGCATCAAAAAGTATTGAAACCATCAGTGCTTTCTTCTATTAAATCACCATCTCAATCACTTGAGATAAGCGTGAGCAAGTTGTATCCTGAGAAGATCAAGCTGGCCCAACATTATTTACCTGAAAATACTCCCACTCTTTTCTTCCCCCATTCTCAATGGTGGTTACATAACTAGGTACCATCGTTTGAACCTCTCCTCTCATTTCCTGAGCCATTACCTCTATCAGTTTATCAGCAAAGTAAAATTTTATTAATGAAACAGAAAATGCATTTACAATTTGTACATTTCTTTTTTTTCGATCAATAACTTCCAAATTTTTATTAATCATAAAAGAATGTAAACATATATACAGATTTTCTTTAGTCGATGAAGCCTCTTATCTCCTACCAACTCACTTTATTTTCATTTATAACTGTGCCCAAAACATTTTATCTCTCCCCACCCCTTGTTTTGAAAGTGAATCACCCATGCTGTTAGCCACCCTTTTTACCCAGTGAAATCTCACTTCCATGTCATTCTCCTTCAATGATCATTTTATTCACATTTATACCCTTTGCACACCCTCCATAAATATAATAGCCATTATCTCCGCCCTTAATGAATCTCAAATACCAATTGATCCCGAGAATAGCACAATGATGTGACAAGATTCGTTTCTGAAAATGCCTCCCACTCCTGATTCCTCAAGGCCCAGGATTTCCCCTATTACTGCCATTCAAACATAGAAAAAGAGTAACTGTGAAATGTGGCTAATTCTTGATCACCAATAATGAAAACAGGGCAAAGGTCAGGATCTTTAAGGCAAGAATTTGATAATGTTACCTTGGACTTCTTCAACCTTGACTTGTTCTCCGCACACCAAGCGAGAGCAGGGCCTACCTCCTTGTTCTGAAGAGCATCAATAACCTTTCTCGCTTCATGGAACACATCAATGTCAACAAGATCCTGCTACACAAAAATTTATATGATTAACAGTCATAATGCTAGAACCAAAAAATGATTGATCTCTTGGAACATAAAACAAACACTATCTGAAATGTTGATACATACATACATACATATATATATAACAGTAAATTTTCATTTCATTAAAAAAGCAACCATAATGCTCAAAAGGAAAGCAGTAGCCAGTAGACCACCAAGTACATCTTAGCTCTTCAGTTACAGCCTTGCCCTGGGCACTCCCATTCTAAAGCTTCTCTCGTCACCCCTTCTCTAACTAAAATCTGCCAGCATGTTAGCACCTAGGGAGTGAGCCAGCCTTCGTCCATAGGATAATAGTTAGCAATCTACTTCCACTTCCACATTCCTCATTCCTTGCATCACTGACAGCTTTAATCCTTTAACTAAAACCAGTAACTTAGCCCTCAAAGAGTTACCCTGACCAAGCAGGCCTGAGTAGCTGAGAATTAAACTGCCACAGTGATCCCATACCACTCCCCCCACATCCGAAGCCCCTGGATTAACCAAGGCAACATCCATCAAAGTTGAGTAATAACCATCCCATCTGCAGGAGGAATCCATTCTACCACTCTTTGAAGACAGTCAGGTTGGAATCTAGCTAATATATTCCACCCCTTATGTAGATCATTAAGGGTAACACCACTGAATTCTTCACAATTTATAACCCAGTGGGATGCCCTTATCTTTGTGAGTTCAAATAGCTCCCCCACCTGTTTATATTTCTCTTCAAAAATCCCTGTATTTCTCGTACGCCACAAACCCCATAAAACTGCAACATGCACACATTGCCACAAAACCTTTTGCATCTGAGTGCAACCTCCTAAAAAATCATTTTTAAACAAATCAACCACTTCAGATGGAGCCACCCAAGTTTTTCCCAAACAATGAAAAGAAAATCCCCCACAATATAGAAGCATAAGAGCAGTGCACAAGGAGATGGTTGGTGATTTCCCCACTCTCGAAGCAAAGGACACACACATGAGGTGAGAGAACCCAGTCATTCCACTTCCTTTGGAGTCTTTCATAGGTGTACATGATTTGGTTGACAGTCTCCCAACAAAAAATCTTGACTTTTGGGGGAGTAGGACTATAACAAACCTCTTTGACCGGGAAAGGGTGACTCTTATTAGAGGGATAAAAAGGTATTGAAATAGGAAGCACAAGTAAAATTGCCCTTAACAAAGGGAGCCCAAACTCTCTCATCATTCGCCAAGGAAGACAAGTTTACATCTTGAAGATGAGAGAAACCAGCTCGCTAGTTTCATGGTCTCTCAAAGGTCTTCTCAATCCCAAGTCCAAAACCAACCCATTTCCACTCACTGAATGTTGATAAAACTCAAGTAACTAAGCCCTAAAGGGAAACGACCAAAAAGCAAAGCACTAAAGGGATAATCTTTCCGTAAAATAAGACCAGTAACCAAAACATTAAATGCAAACCTGCATATTACTGCTTTCAGCAAGTTTAATTGCGGTGTCATAGTATGATAGCCGCAACATGTAGTCCACGAGAATTCGCTTTACTCGGGTGCTGTTCCACTCAGAGAGGCTCTCCGTTCCCGCAGACTCTAAGTGATCCAACCGAGCTCGACATCTCTGAGCTTGCAAGTTTTCTGTCTTGTTCCCCTCTTCCAACTAATTAACCAAAACAAATGAACTTATATTTATAGCAGTTTGGTTAAAACAGACCAAAAAATGATGATTGTGTGAAGAGAATGAATGTGAGAGAGGTCAGAGGAGTGGTAAACGTGAACCTTTCTTTTAAGGCCTTGTAATCTGGAAACGAGGGATGTAAGGTGATGAACCGCTTCTTCTTTGGACATGTCGCGGTCGGCAGCTTCGGCGACACTGGAGATTACAGCAGACATCTCTTTCTCGACGATCCGGTGGTTCGCTCGCATTGATTTCTTGAAATGCTCGAACGGAACCCTCAAGAATTGGTGCTCCAGCTTCAATGACTCTGCCAGGTGAGTCAGCCTAGACGACGGAATCGAAGCGGCTGTCGCCGCCGCTGCTACAGCCGTTGAATCGCCGTTGGGCAGCGATTCCATCGCCGTGTATAAAGGAAAGGTGGGAGGAGGAAGGGAAACAGAGAAAGAAACCTCAACGACCAGATCAGGGGTTTACAGAGATTTACAATACAAAAACTACAAAGTCTTATGTGGAGATAATTTTAAGATCACGAAGGATCGTATTTTCCTGACATTAACGAGACTTCTCCTCGTTTGTCTGAACAGGAACAGAGAAACCGGAATCAGAGAGAAGAGGAGATATACGCCTGTCGGTCTCTCTGGGCAAGAGAGGTGCCTTGCTTGGGCTTTTGCTTTTCTTCTTTTTTCCCCAAATCTCCAAGTGAGTATTATCTATGTCCATCAACCATCGCTGTGAACTCCATGTTCCTTAACTTTAATTATGCATAAATAACTAAAATATGATTTTATCATTGGATAAATTACGTAGATTTCCGTAGCTTAAGGTATGTTCTAGTTCTTTAATTTTAGTTGAGTCCTACTTTTGATACCGAAAAGGCATGATACCTGAAAGACAGACTGATAACTCATAACCTACGGATCTGAATTTAGCGGGTTTGGATCTTATTTTTATTTTTAAAGACTATGTGTATATTCTTTTTAGGGTTAAATACTTAAATTACCCTTATTGTTTAACATAACAAATGGATAAAATCTTCTCCTATTAAATATATAAAACTATCTTATTATTTAAAATAATTCCAACTTTTCTGAGAATGGATAAAATCTTCCCTTATCATTAAGGTGTCATTACAATTACAACCCGTTTGTATGTGATATCATGGGACATATATAAATTTTTTTTAATTTAAAAATTACCATTTTTGTGATTGATTTTAAGGGAGAATGATTGTTCAGAATTCATAGGCCTGAGGTATGTAGGTGCCAGCTCAGCTCAGAATTGATGCTAATTTGCGGGCAGGTATGAGTTTTTGATCTTTTAATGTTTATAGATTTACGGAAAAATTCAGAAATCTGCATTAGCCTAGCCTATTCGTACTTTTTCTGTTTATTTTATCTTTCATTGTTCTTTTCCTTTTCCGTTGATTTTACGTTTCATTATTCTTTAAATTTTCATCTACCCAAGAATAAAATTTATCTAAAAGTTTTATGACAAAGAGTATTGGCTTGTGTATTACAGAGGAATGAACATCGGCAGCAACACCTGCGTGACGATGGGGGTGGACATATTGAGGATGCAAGGGTTAGTGATCTGAGCAAGTGGATTACAATGGCCTGGGGCTTCTTCTTTAGGATTCTATTTACTTTGCGTTGTTGCATTGTTGGGGAGCAAGAACAAGATAATGAGATTCAAATTACCAGTTACAACAATAACTTCCATTAATCAACTCTTTGGTGGGGTAGGGCATTTTTCTCTCTCTCTCTCTCTTTTTTTTTTCCTTATTTACATGGTGATGGCGGAGTTAAATGGGGCTGGGTGGCTGAGTTAGGTACTTTTTTGTAAGTTACATAAGAGTATTTCACGTTTTGTATTCAGCATTAAATCCAACTGTTCAATTTGTGAAATTCATTATTGTTTGGCTTAATTGGGGTTCTGATTGTTAAAATGAACCAACCCAGATTGCAGACACAATCGTTCAATATGGGGATGGGGTAAAGCCCATGTATCTCAGAGGTGGTATCCCTTTAGCCCTTTCTTTTGCTGGATTCGTTTATGGAATCATCCGAAAAAGAAAAGACAGTTTCCTAGAGTTTCCTTAGAAGAAACTGATAATTCCTTGGAGGAACTTTGTGATGGGGAGAACCTTCATAACCTCAACTTGACGCCTTTACAGTGTAGAGAAGAAGAAGAGCTCAACCCATATACTGAGGTCGATGAATCCATGGAAAGCTCTGTAATTTAAGATGGGTGACGAATTTTCATGCCTAAAGACTGGGTCATTGCTATTCAGGAGAGGGAACGAGAGTTAGAGAAGGAATTTCTCTGTTATTGTAGGATGAAAGACCAAGAATTGATTCTCCTTGCTTCAAGAAAGATTCAACAAATATTATCTAGTTTTGGGACTTCAGATTTAGAGATGTTAGGGCAGATATAGGCGAAGAAGGAATGTTACATTTTGAAGATTTGAAGAAAAATTAAAGATAAAATAATCCGTTAGGGATTCCGGTTGTCTATTATCTGAAATGTTGTCCGAGTTACTTAAAATAATAATCTCTTAAAACAGTAGGGGTAGGTTTGTGATCATTTACTAAACCATAAGGGTGGTGTAAGAATTGATCCGATTGTATTGGACCGGTTGCGTATAACCGAGTATCTCCGAGATTGTTATTACCCGTATTCGTATTTGAATCTGTCTGGATATTATTACCCGAGTATCTCCAGCGTGCACATCCACGGTGGGGCCGGAGACCTCGTCGTATATCATTGGATTCGAATATTCTAATAATGCTGCTACCATGAATGGTTGTGATCATCTGATTACGAATATGTGGTTATTACTTATTTTGTCTTATCCTCCATATGATTAGACTCAGATGGGCAGAAGAGCATCCGATTAGGTCATGTTTTGACTTTTCAATGGGAATGAACAAAGTTGCCTAACGTGTCTACCAGCTTGACAGAGACGGGAAAAACACGTAATCTTATCTGGTTATCTGGGTACCGTTTGCATAGCGGGAAGAAAGAGTAGTCTCCAGCAGTCGTACCGACTACTGACCAGCGAACGACCAGCTCTCTGCCGGCGGTCTGCCTATGTCTCAGGTGGTGGTTGCCATTGCTTCCGTCGGCACCGCTGGTTTGACGACCTGTGGACCGCGCCAGAGAAGGGTAAAGGCCGAAACCAAGGACAAGGGGAGTAGCAGTAGCAGTCTCGGCTTTGGCCGAGAGAGGAAGGAGCCGTCGTGGCGGTGCGCACAGGGGTGCGGTGCTTGCTGCAAGCTCGATAAGGGCCCCTCCTTCGCCACTCCTGAAGAGATATTCGAAGACCCATCTGACATTCAGGTTAGTTTGTAAATCCTATTAATTGGTTGTGTTTTTAATTTCTTTATCTTCTCTCCTTTTTTATTAGTTGGAATCATAGTTACATGGGATCCTTATGCACTTGGAGTTTAATTTTGTCCCAGTAGAAATTTTGTTTGCGTAAAGAACCAAAGAAGTGAACACCATGTAATTTGTGTTCTAAGTTCAGATTGTGTTCTTGCTAATTTGTAAATTATGTTTGTTTAGATGCTTCAATAAGTTATATATACATTCTTCTTGTTAGTTTGCTTTATTTTCTTTTATTTATTTTTATGCAAGGCAGGTCTTCTTTGAAAGTAATAATAATTTTTTTCCAATTTATGCCATTATCTGAGTCAAGATGTGTGTATGGAGTTGAGTTCATCTAACTTAATCCGTACTGGAGCTGCTGTTTAAATAAGCTTATTATGACATAACCAGCGTTTTGGGGCTTATAAAATACTCAGAGGAAAGTTAATATGGAGATAGCCTTCCTAGTTCCCTTTATTGTTTTATGGAATGGGGGAAATTTGCATTCTTTAACCTTGTACTTGTCCTTCTCTATACCCTAATTACGAAAATAAAATAAAGCAGTAAACAAACAAGTGGAATTGGATGATTGGTCTCATTGTGGAACTTGATGTTTCTTAATTCTTAATAGGTCGCTAATAAAAAATAAAATGTTTCTTAATAGGTCTATTTTTCTTGGTTTTGACCATGTTTTTTTATCCTCGTCCAAGGTTCAACAAAGAAGCATAACATATTACTCCAATCAATCTCCCTGATAACTGACAAATTGAGCTTAGGCATGGCATCCTTTCAGTCTCTTTCAATGATTTTGACATACTTACAAATGAAATTGTTCTTCACATATGCCCGTTTGACATGTTTTCTTGTATTTTCTACCTTCTTGATTATCTTCATTTCATAAATTCCAGCTCTATAGGAGCTTGATAGGTACAGATGGATGGTGTATACACTTTGAGAAAATCACACGTACATGTTCTATTTACTCTGGTAAGTTTACTTGGCTCAATGTCTTCTATAGTAGTATTTTGCTCAAGGTGTTTCGATGCTAAAGACCTTAACTGCCAACACTGTTAACCTGTTTTTCTAGATCGTCCATATTTTTGCCGTGTAGAGCCTGATATATTTCAAGCATTATATGGGATTGACAAGAAGAGGTTCAACAAGGAGGCATGCAGGTCCATAACTCCATTTGATACTTCCCATTCTTTCATACATGCTATAATTGAGTACTTTTATACTATCCCTTTGCAATTTCTGCTGACTGTTTGTCTTTCTTGCAGCTTTTGCCAGGATACGATAAAAGCAATTTATGGTTCCCATTCTAAAGAGTTGGATAATTTCAACCGTACCATAAGGAACCCAAGTTCTACTTAAATTATTCTGGTAAGCTGAGATATCTCAAATACTGATATAGAAGAGGAGCTGGATGGTGTTTGTTCTGGTTAGGTTGCAACTTCAATCTGGCTAACCCAAAACCAACCTGACCCAACCTAAGAAAAAATGGACCAGTTGGGTTGGGCTCAAAATTGGGTTAGGATTGTGGACTTGACATTGGAAAGGGACACCCCCCGTGTGGGCCCACTATTAACTTCTCTTTCTTAGCCCTAGACTCTCACCTTCAATCCTATTCAGTAACCTCCAAGGGGAAATATTAGAAGAGGGGAGATAGATCCTATTAGCCAACAAAATGGCACTACTGGAACCAAAATATCTTATACAGAAAGATGGATTGAGATGATTCTCATTGTATTATGATTGCACACCGATATGTCTCTAAACACACTAAAACACAATAATACCCATAAATAATTGAATTTTTATAAATCCATCAAAAAATGTTCAAATTTTAATAATGTGTATTGTCCTTCGCTTTCTTCAGGGCTAGAATTTCCAACATAAGGAGTGAGTTATGTCTGCTTAGAGAACTAGTTCATATCTTTGAATTCTGAACTTCTCACTCTGATATATAGCACTACACATCAAGTAGTGAACTCTTCTTTACTGCTTTTGAAACTAGGAAAGTTATTGGGGAAAAAAGAAAAAAGAAAACTCAGAAGGAGTATATAATGTAGTTCCCTTCTTTCTACTTTTGTATTCCCTCTTGTACTCACTCCACTGGATCATTTTGCTGATAAGGTGCATAATTCTCTGCATCTTTTTTTTTTTCGTTCTTCTATCCTCTCAATTTCCAGTTAGTCAAATTGTGTTCACTGTTCACTGATCAGAATGGGTTAGAGTTGAAGAGATTGGATTGGATTAGGCTTAGATAGGGGGTTCAACTTCAACTTGTTTTGATCTTGTTCAAGTTGCACCCTTAGTTCTCATCCCAAGGTTTTATTAGTCAGTACTGTGGCTTTCTGTGTTTCTCAATGTCATATAAATTGTGTCTGCCTGGCCAGTCAGCCATTAATTACTATGGCCCTTTTTTCCTTTTAATTTCTGAGGAATTCTGGCAAGGAAACTCAGGGTGCATCCCCAACTTCAGCTTGGCTACAGACAAGTTAGAAGACATGAAAAGATGCACTAGAAGACAAGTTTGATCCGTCTTTTCATCAGTCCAGCCCATGTAGTGCCTTTGTAGTTAGGGTGATGCAAGATTGTGTTGCTTCCTTGAATACCTGTTTATTTATTTTACGATCTTGTTACTGATACTGTGTGAAATTCCAGCAACAGTTCAACTAACCGGACTACCCTGCTACAGACACCTAGGGATACGTTAAAAGTTGTATTGTAGTGTGTCTTGTCATATGTCCAAGGTGTCTGTTGCAGGGTAGAACAGGTAGCTGAATTACCTGCTAGCACTCCTCATTCTGTTTTGCCTGAATCGTTTTTATTTGCAAATATGCATTGTATTCTTGCTTGCAGTTCTATTGCTAGTGGGATTAACGTGGAGCCTTCACTCCCTTCTTGTTCATCTCAAGGGATGATCCCTTTGAATTGAAAAGCAGCCTCACTGAGTATAGAGTGATGCCAATTCCTAGAATGAGGATCATAGAAGGTTGAAATTACTTGGAAAATGTGATGATGCAAAGGATAAAAGTACAATATTCCAAAGTGGGAATGAAAGCAAAATGAAGAATAGAAAGGTTTTATGTTATACTGATATTATTTTGTAATGTTTTTGCTATTTTTTCCTGAAAATCTAGGGTTTTTTCATTGTTAATGAAACCCTTTGATTGTGTTATTGATAAAAAAGCAAAATTAAGAATATATTAGAGTTTGGCTTCTTTTGAGTTCAGAATTCCATTGCTAAAGCTTTTACAAATACTGGAATAGCTAGATGCCCATGGTTATTACAACTTTATTCACAATTGTTATTGATGAAGATCATCCTCTCTGTTAGTGATAGGAGTTGCACCTTCTGACAGTTACTAATTGTTTACTGGTGGCATACCTGTAGAATTGTCTAATTTAAGCTGGATAACAAAGGATTGCTTTACACAATTCCCTGGGTTTTCAAGGCCATCTATCTAGCCTGGATGCATTTTCTACTACTCTATTTTTTTTTACTAAATAAGAAGTCTCTTCCTGTCTATGAACCATGTCTTCCCAGGATGTGAGGATCACATGTATCACATGTCAATGTTTGAAATATGTCTGCTATCATGTTTATGCCTTTATACATCTGTATGCAGTTGCAGTATGCCTTTGATTATGTCCTGATTACAGTTTCAACCTTTTTATTCTTCTTCTCATACTGCATTCAATGATGACCATTTCATACATTCTAGTCTTTCATGATACTCCTCCCAAGACCCCAACTCCTAATTGAAATCACCCAACTGGAGGTGGAAGGTGGTTATCTCACAGACTGCCAGCATAGCCTATGTTTAAAATGTTTACCATGGGAACACTCTGCTGGCAGAGCCTCTCTTCTCATCTTCCTTCTTGCCAAGTATGCATGGAAACTTTTTACCCTGTTTTCTTCACATATAACTTTTAATATGCACATGTAGGTGATACACTTGAATTCATTGAGCTTTGCAGTTTGCATGGCTGGAAAGGCACACTTAAAGTTTAACTTTGGGATTTGACTAGAAATAATTCTTCTTCCCATACACATATATGCATATAAGTTTAAATATCATGTTGTAAATATGAAGAATCACTGTATGCTGGGACTTGGGATGACTCATAAACATGCAAACTGGTTCATAATACATATGATATTAGTAATTGTGTGAACAGCGTGCATTTTGATCTTTGATTAGTTAAATGATTGCTTGCCTACCTAAAATTATATGAAAGATAAGTACCTCAAAACATATATGAATAAGTAGTGTTAGTACTGAAGAATGTATTTCTTACCACTTCTCAAAAAAAAAAAAAATCACAGTATTAGAGTTGCAGCTTGGTGATATTTCATTACTTTATGCATGATGTTATTTAGTGCTTTAGCTGTTGGAATTTAAAGAACACTAGGTTACTGTATGTTATACCAAGTTATTTAAGTTGTTGATGTTGGTCCTATATGAAGCATACATCAGAATTAGTAGCTGAAGTTTCATGTTTGGAGCTTGCATCATTCACATTCCAATTGATCAAAAAAAAATCATTCACATTCCACATCATGTCTGGGCTTTAGTTCCCATCAATCTGGATAGCCTGCAAAACCTGGCAGAATAGAATCCTCACCAAGAGAAACTGATAATCCCACAGGACACAAATATATAATTGATAAATCCAACGTCCACAACTATCTGTTCTAGAGAAGTAAAGGATTTAGTGATTTTTATCCAAAGCTGGCCTTTTCTCATGGTTAATTACATTTTCTTTTTGCGGCACTAATACATCCATAAATGCTGAGGAAAAGAAACCAACCACCATTCGGTTGCATTCCAATCAACTAGTCCTCACAGAATTAATCTGTTCTAACAGAAAAGCAACTACTGGCATAGACAAGGATCACCCATAGACATAGATCATTCATTTCTAGTGAACTATATCATCATTGTCATCTAAGCCTTGTCCCAACTATAATCAGCTACACGAATCCTGTTTCGCTATACCGTTCTATTCAGTGCCATAACCATCATCCTGGTGAACTATATCTGTGCTTCAGATGGTAGCAGACAACAAAAATTTTCTAAAGTATAATTTTTCTTGGTGCATTCCAAAATAAAATTTGCATACCATAGGTACACCAAAGTCTAGACTCTGCTACTCATTTTACACAAAGCAACTACCAATATAAACAGGGCAATAAAGCCCAAATAATGTCAGACAGGATATGATTTCTTATATCATATCTCTAGACTCTGCTACTCATTTTACACAAGGCAACTACCAATATAAACAGGGCAGTAAAGCCGAAATAATGTCAGACAGGATATGATTTCTTATATCATATCTCCAATACCGATTTCATCTTCAATGTCATCACCCTCATCAAAGAGCTTTAGAAAGCGTGCCTGATCGTGTTCTCTCTTTTTTCTCCTCCAGTATTTATAAGCAGCTACAGCACCAAGGATGGATGCAACAGAAACCAACACACTGATCATTATCACCCAAACCACATTTATTCCTTTTCCTGCAACAACTTTGTCTGTGAACCAGAAGTATGATCAGAACCTACAATCACATGGGAAACACCAGAAATACAACTACAAGGTATACTCTAAATAAACTGAAATGCAAAGACATGGGTAGAGGAAAATGTCAATGAAATGCTAAACCAACAGAAGACCAATATTTTCGATTCATTCTATTATTTCTGGACTAACTCCTGGATAGGGCTGTCAATGGGTCAGAATCGGATCAGATAAGCCTGGATGGCTGGATTTAATTAGATACTATTTATAATAGGGTTAGACACAACATATAGTGACATCATTAGTAAACTAGAATGGTCAAACCATGATTGATATTTGGAGGGAGGTTAGGACTGTATCCAGTCTACCCCTCCCAAAAACCCCTAGCTAGGACCAACATATAGTGACAGCCTACTCTAGGATGGGCCGCAGCTATGACATCATAAAGATACTGTGACTTTAAGATCCTAAATCCTCCGATTAAAATTGTTTTATACCCCTTTATTTGATAAAGATTTTCCTAAACTAACATATAAGTTGACATTGGTAAATAAATGAACATTTTATAGAACTGCTCACCAGTTTCAACACACTGGCTACATAAAAATGTAGCATTGAATTCTTTGTCTTTGGAATGCACATAATTCCCATCAGGAGCCATAAAATCAGAAGGACAAAGTTCCCACTCATCAAAAATCGCATCTGCTTTTATGATGTCTTTCTCATACAACCCACATCTCTTACATTTCTTATCTGCAAGTTCAGTCAGGGGCTGCAACAAGAACATCACAATTTCATCATTAGATGCCTTGAATAAAATTCCACAAAAATAAGTAACCAATTTACAGGGTACAGCATCTGCAGTATAATGATCTATTGCATGAACTAGGCAAGTTGGAGATACAAATTCCAGTGAAATCTTACAAGCCTATCTGCAAGTAAATTAGTAACAAGAACCATCCTAGGCAGGGACTTCCACACTCAGTGTTTCAAAGAATTAGGAGTAGAATTGGAAATGAAATGCAATTCTTAGGTTTTAGAAACATGTTTCATAACAGTTCCGGATTCCTTGCAGAAAGAGGGAGGCTTATAAAAACATTTGATTGCTTAAGCACCCTTCCGGCCAATGCGGGACTCTCCTCACTCAGAGAAAATGTTTTTTGTATCTTCCAACAACAGTTAATTCCTACTAAATAGGAAAGTTACTCCAATAAGCACAGCAAATAAGACATTCTTCCATGTGTCCCACCCAATGGGTCAAATCTCCCACTCTTCCAGTCTTCCCCCCTCTCCCCTATCCATTTGAAAAAGCAAGTGGACATAAATAAATAAAATATATCCATTTAGCAATGTGCCCTTGAACTTCATCAACAGGTCAAAAGTCAAAACACTATCCATTTTCATTCAGCAAGCTCATCACTCTTATTCTTCGGTCTGTCTTAAAAACACATACACATAAACATTATGTATATATTCATAATCATGCATAAATCCACACACACGCACAAGGTCCATATCCAATCTACCCCTCCGAAGACCCCGGATAGCTGGGACCATCATTAATGACTGCATACATTCCATCATACTCCATGATTTGATTAACTGGCCTGAGAGTTACCCTACACCTCAATGTGGTCAAAACCCCGGGAGCAACTCAAACTAAGTCCCTGGAGAAGCACCAGCATTAGGCCATTGCCCAATGGTGGTCCCAGCTATCTGGGGTCTCGAGAGGGGTAGACTGGGCACAGTTTGTGGCCGCCCTCAGACTCAGACCTGTGTTCTCAAGTTTGCCAGCCCAAGATTTTACCATTACACCAAATAATGCCCTTGGAGAAGCACCAGCATCTTGGCTCTAAATTATATTGGAACTGCCATCCCAAATCAGACCAGAAAAAACAATGGTGATCTCTACTGCCATATTTGAAAACACCTTTTATACAAGGACCTAAACCCCCGATTAAGCAACCCTCAAAATCAAGCTTGACAGATGAGGTATCCACTCCTGCACCAAAACCTGCTGATTGACCGAGGAGGATGGCAATGGCTTAACTGCTTTAAGAAATTGAAACCAACCCAGTACTATTATCTGCAATAAGATGGAAAGCTTCCTTTGGATAGGCAAAAGGCGTCTTTTCATATGGAAAAAACTCTCCAAAAAATTGAAACTAAATACCCAGAAGGCAAACAGCAAGAACTTCTTAAAACTGGAACATCAGTAAAGCAAAATTTATCCCTTGCAAGCTATTTGGACGAATGCCAAATGATTTCCTTTAAGCATACTAGGAAACAAGGGAAAGGTGAAATGCGCCACCTTCAGCTTCAATTTAGGAGTCAACATGATATGGGCATTGGTGGTGATGAAAGTTGAACACCCAAGGCAAGATTTGCCTTGCCAAATTCTATGATTTTCAGCCTGCAGAGAAGCAGCGAGAGCTGAGAATGTAAGCAACTTTATCCAGGCTGATGCAATTTCCGGTCCGGATACCTTGATGGTATACAAGCATTATGCAACCCTTGACTTTGTCTTTGTGTTTGATAGTTCTGAAAATGAGCTAGCTATGCTTGATCTTATTTAAGTATTTGTTGAGACAGGACAAATGCTTCAAGAATGCATTTGAGCATGACATTGTGTAATTGTGTTCAATTTTAGCAAGATGCATACTATTTTTGATGAGATCATATTTGGAAGTCAAGTGCTTGAAACAAGTTCAGCAACTGTTGAAGAAATCACCAAGTTGGAGAAGGCCTCAAATGCAATGGCACTTGTTCCCAAATCAGTTTCTGGCTGGCAGAGTCGATGACACCTGTGACATTTGGTTTGCAATGTAATTGTGGATGCATTGTTCTTGCACATTTACAGAAACTTTTGGTGTTTATGCCGACATTTGTATTTGATATTGACATTTTGCATGAAGTAAAATCTTTGAAAGCTACTACAGAAAAAACGTTTAAAAAAAGTACACTAGGAAACACAATTTAACTATTGTGTCTATGGTTGTGCAAAGATCATGCAGAAATTCCATTGTATTTATCAGTTCAAATGTTTCTAGAATTTGCAATTAAGGGTGCATTTGGTTGTAATGCAAACGCAAATATGTACATTGTATATTTACCCTCTTTTCATTTCATGAATGCAAACACGGTTTAGATTTTAAACCGTTTTTACACTAATCGGTGGTAAGTGTGGTCCCCATCATTAAATGCTCCAATGCCTTTATCAAAAGAATACAAAATTGTATCCAAAAAATAGGTACAATAATGTTCTCTTTTCACAGTACAAAATTGTCAGAAAATACATATGATAATCATTACTTTTTTATATGTCAAACAAACACTCGCAAACCTGCAAACTGCAGTATATAAATACCCTGGTTCAATATTTGAAAGGAGTACACATACAAATATGTACGGTACAAACACATACAAAATAATGCAAATTACAATGTTTTGCACTCTACACATTTGTATTCGTACTCCTTTCAAACTGAGCCTGCACCTTATATTTTGTTTGCATTTGCACTGTATATATTTGTATTTATAGTCTTTCCAAACCAAGATTCAAAATATCGTTATGTATTGATTTGTATCGACCGATACGTATTATATTGTAGCCTTCCCGATACACCCCTACAGGGAGTGTTTCAGGTCAAACCATGGTTCAGAGAGTAACTGGGCCTTGAACTGACCCTTCTGAACCAGATTCGAAAAATCAGCAGTATCCTCCTAATTCCATCCTAGTGATTGGAATACCTAGCAAGGTCTACCTTTTTCCAATTTCCTATCTTTCTTGATGCAGACACGGCAGGTTAACGACAATTAACTTGACATGGTAAAATGAGGAATGAGAATTAAGGCCATGTTTGGTTTGAAGGAAAAGGTAGGTAGGAATAAGAATTAAGGCTATGTTTGGTTTCCCTTCCTTTCTTTACCTTTTTCCTTCAAACCAAACACAGCCTAAATGTCCTGCGAGGACAAACCATCTTTTCCCAACAGCATTTGCTGTGGAAAGTTGAATGAGTCAATCTGATTATAATTAAACAGGTAGCTTTCTCATCACCTATCAAACGAATAATAACTAGAGCTGGGATGTATTTCAAATGCCCACTTAACCATACAAGTAGTTTGGAGAATCACCAGAGTTGAACTTGCGGCAGAATTCTGCAGCATCCAGGAGCAAAAACTAGAGCTGGGATGTTTTTCATAACCTATCAAACGAATAGTAACTAGAGCAGGGATGTTTTTCAAGTGCCCACTTAACCATACAAGTGGTTTAGAGAATCACCAGAAATAATGAACTTGTGGCAGAACTTTGCAGCTTCCAGGAGCAAAAGCTGCCTTGTATGTTATGCAATACTATTATCCTGGAAATATTTGCAAGACAAAATAGCATCTAACAAAAAATAAATAAATAAATAAATATTTTGATTTTTTAAATTGTATTAAGAACCACTACAAACCTGCCAGGATTCTTCACCCTTGAAAACATATATGTGGTGTGCTTCCGTCACATCCGGTAAAATTGTCTTGTTCTCCCCTTGACATTGAAAATAAATTGTTGGTTTTGCACTTAGCCATTCATGAGTTTTAAAAATTTGAATCGACGTCAGTGTAACAGTTCCAGATGAAAAGGCTCCTGCAAATAGACACATCATTGTTTAGGTTTCTGGAAAGAAAATAAATTCCCATTTTCCATCCACATACCACGAGACCAAATCATCCCCCACAACATCTCCGCCTTAGATTGAAAACATCTCCCAATGATAACATCATCATTTCTGGGATTATCATCTGGAGATGTTTTCAATATACGACGAAAATGTGCTGTGGGGCGTTGTGAGGGGCTGATTTGAACTCACATACCACATAGTATTTGAATCTGATGTGTGCATTCCTAATTAAGTTACGAGCTGGAAAAAAGTGAGGGAATTACAGAATGCCTGATTTATAAAGCCTCAAATTATGGAGCACCTCCATACGCACATATATCATATATGTATGTGGGCGGAAGACAATTGTATGAGAGAGACATTTGTGCGTGTCTGTGTTTGAACGAGAGAGAGAGAGATGTAGGAAAAAAAGAAGGATGCCAAAGATAGTGAGTTAACAAAGTAAGAAAGCTATGCAGGATACATGTCCCAGTCCCACCTTGCATAGAGGAAATTTTCCAAGTAGATAGATTTATGTAGTCACTGCAGGCCACAAAAAATGAAACCACATTATCTGTGTAATCTGGGAGTGTGTTTTTGGGTGTTTCCATTCCAAAATCATGGAACAGAGGTTTTTCTTTTTCATTTTTTCCCTTTTTGGTTACAAAGGGAAGAGAAGCACTAAACAAGACGGCTAGTGCGGCCCGAACAATCCTCTTTCAAAATTCTATCAAAGTCTGAGAAATTAAGATCTTGATCATGATCGATGCTTTCCAGGTTCTCAACTTTGGCTAAGAAATCAGCTATTTGGTTTCCCTCTCTATGTCCATGCTAAATAAATTTGATTTTTTCCTCTGATTTGCATAACAAGGGTTTGGATGCCAGCAACAATGTTTCCAATGGTCGAAGGAGGATTGATTCTCTTATTGATGTTATCAATTACAATTTTGGGTAAACGGAAAACGAGAAATGAAGAAAGAAAAGTAAGGGAAGCCAACACGTTAGGACAATCTGAGCCAAACTAACTACTTTACATCCATTCTCCCAAAACATGATCGAGACCCAATAATCAAAATTAACAAATGAAAACATACAAAAGATCCAAAAAAAAAAAAAAAAAGCGTATTCTTTTGTACGTGAAACAGCGTCCTCTGTTCCTACGAAAGATTTAATTTCTAATGTCAAGCTACTAGTAAGATCAGTTTCCTTAATGACTCACGACCCATATGATAAGATCCCCTTCCTTCAATGCAACCAATTTGCTCTTTTTGTCACTGATTATCTGGCCAAAGTCCTTATTGAACGGGTTTTAAATGTCCTCCATGCATAAGATCCCCTCTATCCTAGACAATTCTGAATCTCCTTAATCTGTCTAAAACTCTAACATACCCTATATGATCGATGATCAATCTCCGAGGCGTAACTCGCCATTATGCTAAATTCTTTTTGTGTCGACGATGCTACCCTTGAAACCGGGAAGAAGAACAGAATTTCTCAAATAGAAAATTGTCCTGATCAACAATTTGAAGCACGAAAATTGAAAGAAAAAAGGATTACCTGGAAGAAAGCAAACGAAGACAGGAAAAATGAGAATAACACTACGAACTTCTGAATTCAGCAAAAATCGAACCGTCATAACGCTTGCTCCCAGACAAGATCAAATGGCTGATTGGCTGATTATTCATTCAGAAAGATAACAGCGCAGAAGGGTGGGGAGGGAGTGAAGATTGGTGCAATATGGGAGCTGGTGTTTTCCCGGGAATTCGTAGCATCAGAGAAATGTTTCTCTCCGTATTCCGGGTAATGGGCGGGAACATGGGGAAGCACCTTGCGCTCGCAGAGGACTGGCTCTCCTTAACCGTCCAGTCGAAACGAAAAAAGAAAGAGATCATAGCCGTCAAATAAACTTCAGAATAGTCTGATCCCTAGATCTAAACCGTCCAATAGGCAATCTGGAAGGTAGTTAGATTCAATTTAATTGGAGCCCGGATCTTTGGAAGTAAAAGCTCTGTTCGTACATTAACATCCCGCCGCACATCGAAAATATTTCCGTACATATGATTCCTAGAAAACGTCACGAATCTTCTAGAGGTGGATTGAACTGTAAAAACCCCTTTTTATTATAGAAAAATGCCTCGCCCTTAATTAATTAATTATATAGATTTTATAGTGTTTTTTTTTGTTGTGTTTTTATTATAGTCATTTGTTTAAATTTCGTAAAGTTTTATTTTCATTCTATTAAATTGACCAGTCAAATATTAAACTGTAAGCACAACTCATACCAATTATATATCCTCAGGCCTACAAATTAGTCACTTAAATGTTTTGTTGAAAGTTGAAACAGCCATGACCCCTTTTTTTTTTTTATTTGACATCAAAATAGTTTAGTTGGAGGGTTATTTTTATGAAAATAGTTTAGTTAGAGGGTTATTTTTATTATAGATGGATGGCGGAATGCACATGAAATTAGAAAACCTCTCTATATCTTGCTCCCACTCACACTGTCACACACATCCGGAGCTCCTAAAAGCAAAAATCATACAAACATCATGGTCATGGTCATGAGGGCACAACATGCAGCGTACATCACATGGGTTTTATCCGTGCTTCACATATGACATATCTAGAGGGGAAGAAGAGTTTAGAGGGAGGGAACTTAGGGGTGCTCGGATCTTAAATTGGCAAAGCTTATACAAGGGGAATGTAAGACTTGGTGGTGAGGAAGGCTTCAATCCTCCTCTATTTATAGAAGCAACTCATCTAGAAAAAAAGAAATCGGTTAGATCTAAAATAGGGTAGCATAAGTGGGGTTTCACCACTTGTCCACGTAGGGATACTCAGGTTTGGGTTCCTGCCCTTCTCCTCACGATCTCCACATGAGCACGAGTACAACTATTGCCCTCTTTTAAAAGCCTGTTTGAGTAAAGTTTAGTAAATTTATAAGAGTGTCTACCAGTGTGTTTGATAATACTTTCCAGACGTCTGGTGTCTGAAAAACTTGTTTTTCAAACACCGGACCTGTTTGATGATGCGTTTGAAAAATAATTTGAATTTTGTTTTCGGATTTAAAACTCAAAGCATGCAACCCGGCTCTTAACACATTCAGACGCATTTTAAAATTAGTAAAAAGTCAAAATTACCCCCCCCCCCCCCAATATTTTTGAAATGACGCACTGATACCCTTGATTATCCCCCAAACCAAAAAACCTAGCTCATTTTTGTTTCAACGCGAAAGAAATCTTCGCTCAAGAAGATTGCTCCAAGTATGTCCGCAAGACCTTCTTTTCTCTCATGTTTGCTTCTTCTTTATCAAACATCAGATCTCTCACCATAAATCTTCATTTTTTAGGGGTTATAGTCATGCCAGACACCTAGCGAAGGTATCTTCTTCTTCAAAGGCATCTTCCTTCTTCTTCTTCTTCTTCTTTTTCTTCTTTCCTATTTATAGTTGTTTGATTTGTTTGGTTTGTTTACGTTTAACTATTGAATCTCTTAAGTTTGTTATTAATCATATGCAAACTGTAGATTATTTGATTTGTTTATTGAATCTCTTAACTGTTGAGAAAACTATTAATTTTTTAAAATTATTTTAATTTTTGTGTAAATTATTAATTAGTAATTATTTTTTATTAGTCATTAGTTATTTTTATTAATTTTAATTGTGTTTTTATTAATTATTAATTTTTAAAAATAATTTAAATTTTTATTTATGTAAATTACTAATTATTGATTATTTTTATTAACTACTAATTACTAGTTAATAATTATTTTAATTTTTATTAAGTTTTAATTATGTAAATATTTTTTATTATTAATTATTTTAATTTTTATTGAGTATAAATTACTTTAATATTTTTATTAGTCATCATTTATTTTTAATAATTTTAATTGTGTTATTTATTAATTATTAATTTTGAATTTTTATTCGTATTATTTCAATATTATTTTGAGTTTCAAAAATTATTTGGTATGAAATAGTGCAAATTGAACTTAAAATTATCAAATAGTCTGTTCTGGGGGTAAAATAGTAAAATCAGGGAACTTCAGATGCTGAAGGGATCCAACACAAACAACCTTATCTATTCAAAGCCTCTAAAAAGTAGAAAAGCATCATAACTCTTTTAAGATTTTAGACACTTTTAATATCTTTTTAACTTTTCAGATTTCAGATTTTAGATTTATGAAATGCCACCTAAGTGTCCTTTTGTCATCGCAAGTCGAGTGCGGGCATATTGCACTATTGAATGCTATTGTAGTGTGGAAGCCTACTATAAGGTTGTATCAATTCCTGAAACAAAGTTATGGCAATAAGGCTCTTAAGTTAAAATTAATATGTTTTGCACTGCGATGATGATTTATTGTTTCATAATGCGGGATAGAATGTTTGTTGCAATTCAATGGGTGTTGTATTGTGGGGGATTTAGGCTTATGTTGAGATGTGAGTGTGTTGTGGTGTGTTTGATTACTCTCCAATGCAATTCCTATGGTGCTTAAATCTATGTACTTAGAGGCGGAATCAAAATCTCATTCCCAATTCTGGTAGAATGGCATTCCTCCATTTGAGGGAATATCCATTTCCTCCCCCTTCCTTGGGAATGAGAATCCCATCCCATTTGATTTCAATTCCCATCTAAGCCAAAAAGTCAAAGGGAATATCATTCTGATTTTGATTCCAAAGGATTTTAATTCCCTTTCCAACTGAGAATCAAACGGATACCAAGGGGCACTCTACATCAACAAAAAATAAAAACATGTTCTTGAGCTTTGTTTTTGTTTTCAAAGGGAAAAATAAGTTGATTTGTTTAAAAAAACAATACATGTTTTCAAAACCAACAAAATAGTGATTTTTAAAACAAAACCAAATTTTCTAGTATAGAAGTTATATGAACATGATGCAGAAGAAAATGTTTTTCAAATCAAATGAAAGAACATATTTTTCATTTCAGTTTTGAAAACAACACCAAAAATACACACACAACCAATAACATATTTTTGTGTTTTTATTTTAAGAAACCATCTATTTTTAAATTAAATAATTTTGATTTATTTTCGAAACGGACAACAAGAAAATCAATTCACGTTGCAGAACGCCTCCTAAGATCATAATTTCTCCTCACAGAGGCCCGGAACCAGATTCCGTGGGCCGGAATTGCTCGACGATGAGGCTCGGGAAATTCCAATTCCAACATGATCCCCATCAGCACCAGGTTTGTCTTTGTCCAATCACGCAACGCAAGGAATGGATGCCTCCACAATGAGTGGTCAAGAATCAAGCATTGGTAGATGAATATACCCAAATAAAGCGTAGAGGGGATTCGATATTGCTGGGAAAAGTAGAATTCCCTCTTTTGCAGTAAGGACTAAAGGATGGCCAGCGCCACATAGCAACAGTGAAACTGTCCAAGTACTGTCTCTGTGGCTCACACTGCTCACAACCCAAAATAGATTTCTGGGAGTCTGGGAAGCACCTTTGGAGAAAAAGTCATCAATCGGGTGGGGGAGGAATAGCCCTGTATTTTACAGTTTGCACAATTCATTCTGGGGGAGGGAGGTTAAGAACAGGGCCAAAATACGAAGTCTGACTGAATATTTTATTCTTTTGGTGAGTGGGTGGGTCCATTAATTCATTCCACCAAATCCTGTTTCCACTGCAATAATCCAAAATGAAACAGCCTGTAGGCTGTAGAGAGTAGAGACAAAGCTATATATTCACCAAATACTCCTTGTGGGATTTCCTTCATTAAATGGTTACAGAAATTTAAGAGTTCAGCAAATTTCATTCACAAAATCACAAGTTGGTAGAAAATCAAGCTTCTGTCACTGAACAAAAACTCCCTGCAGTTGCATGCATTAGCTCACATTCAACAAGTTGGCCGTAGGAGATCTGCTATCATCTATATATATGCAAATGCAACACAGCTGGGTGCCTACTCGGAAGCAAAGACCTTGGTCTCCAACTGGTAAGCTTTGGTGAAAAAGGCGGGCCAACAGAGGTAAGTTGACATAATGCTGCTGACAGTTGATGCCCCGACGAGCATGTTCATAACCACGATCTGCAGCTGAATGGCCTCCAGAGGAGACGCGCCTCCCATTATAAGACCAGTCATTGCGCCCGGCAGAGAGATCAGTCCCACTGTCTTGGCATTGTCCAACACAGGAGAGAGAGCAATAACCAGAGATCTTTTCACTTGCTGGAGTGTGGCCTGACGTGGGGTTGCTCCAAGGGCCAATGCTGTCTCAACCTAAACAAAGATTCTCACAATTCTGACCACTATTTCTTACTTCTGTTTAAGAAAACCTGGAAATGTAAAATTGATCTACCGCTTTTAACTTCCTTAAACTAAGATGAAATTGTTTAAATTGGAAGTGAGTCAATTTACCAGGCTTTTCTGAACTTTTATGTCGTCTCGAAGTCTTTTCATTGTAACCCCAGTTACAGTCATTGCGTTGCCAACCATCATTCCTGCAACAGGGATGATGTACCGTGGGGTGAAGGGGAAAACATTCAGCACCACCAGCAAGAACATGGTCACTGCAGTTCCGGCCAAAATGGAAGCTCCGGCAACGTACTTCCCACGCGGCACTTGTTTAGCGCGCTGCCCTGCTGTATAACCAGCAACAGAAACCTGAAAGGGCACGAAGACATGTATAATTCGATGAAATTATTATCTTCAACCGCTCAAGGTCTTTGAATCGGGTACTGATCTACTGGAAGAAGCCTTGAGACTTGGGACTATCAAAGATCTGTAACCCCTCCTAGAATTCAGTGTCTTAATTCTAGATCCATCTGCTCATGTGGATGTCCAATGAATGTAGACAAGAAGAAAAATTTAAAGATCAACAGAAGAGTCCTAGAAATAATATCTAGCGCAAAAAGCGGTTTCAACTTCATGCGAGCAAAAAAAAAATGAAGGAATTTGGAGCTAAAATCACCACCAATTCAAATTCCATTGTTTAATTTATCAGTCATATAGAAACCCCACCAACACTCCAATCTCAAGCACAAATCTACATAAGGTAGAATCTAAGCTCGCCTTTAACACAGTGACAGCGCTGATGATTTATACAAACAGAGTACACGCGTTCCCCTGTTTCAACTAGGACCATCTTTGTCTGAGTCCATTACTATAGACCTCTAACTGCATATTGAAAGAGAAACACCCTTTTCTCCCTCTGTCTCGATTTATAAGGATCGAGCTAAGTTCATAACCATGAATGTTACTAAGTCAACAGATTGCTGTACCATCGTTAAATTTTATGAACCTAAAAAGCCTTGTTTCAATTCAGAACTCAGAAGGTTTCCTGGGTTGTTAATGAGAGCAAATTAAGAAAAAAAGGATTCTAACGCCAATTCTCCTGTAATTCATTCCTCATGCAAGTAACCTGTCCAACTATTTCCCAAAAATCAAACTAAACCTCTGTTCCAGAACTAGAAGAGAAAAAAAAGATGATTGTAAAGAAACGAACCATGAACAAGTAGGCAAGAACAATCCAGCCACCGTTATTCTGACTGAAAATAAACTGAAGGACGAAGCCGATAATAGATAACTGAACAAAGGCCCTAGCAATCGAATAGATCATCTCCTTCTCCAAACCCAGTTTCTGTACCATCGACAGAGCAACCGCCATTAAGACCACGGCAAGTGCTGCAACCGGCTTCAACATGCCTTTGAGGAAGCCAACCCAGTCGAAATCCATAGCGGGTTCTCTGCAAGAACTCTCTGACTCTGAGCGTACAACCAAACAGCTTACAAGGATGGCCGTGGCCGTGGAATGATAATCCCCTGTTTTGAAGGAATACAGATCATCTTAAGTCCCGCTGCTGATAAGTGAGGAGAGACTCTCGTGGAGTTTTTCTTTTTTGCTTTAGAGACATCTCGTGGAGTTGTTTATTGAGGAAAGTCGACCTGGAAAAGGTCGGACCTTGCATCATGCAACGTCAATTCGACTCATTTTTCTTATTTATTAAATAAGGATGAGCGGAATTAGTGGAGCACGGAGAAAGTACGTACGGCGATACGAAAGTGGAGGGTACACAAAACGGAAAAGGAGGGTTCTTTGTCAGCATCTTTTGGAAGTTTTCGATCACAGATAATTATTTCTTGCCACGTTAGACCCAAGTGTCACGACGTAGATGTTGTTCCGTCTGTCACCTTGCGCAGAAATGGGATAGGCCAGTCCGTATCCAGTGCGTTTGGACTCTAAGAAATTTTTTCTTTAGACTCAAATACTCAATTGAAGTTTTTACACGTTTTCCGATGCTCGACCAGTCATCACCGGCAACCGATCGAAACTTTAATGCTAGACTGCTAGTTATGAATGACAAAAATATTGATAAATCTAAATAAAGCTTTTGTAAATAAAAAAAGAAATAACTAAACAATCAACATTGACAGAAAGGAAGGCTCGAAACCCTCATGTTTTCGTGCTCAAACCCTTCTCCCCCGACAAAGCCTTCCTCGCCGTCGTGACTTTGGATATGCAAGACAAATCCTCACGTTCTAGTCCAAAGGCAACTTAAGCCTTAGCTCCTCCAAGTTCCAACCATTAATGCGAAGACAAAGCTTTTGTCAAGTAAAATAAGGTGGTTCTGGCTTTAGATTTGCAAGACACGAGGCATCTTCTTCTTCCTCTACGGTAAGCTTTGGAAAGTAAAAATAATAGTTCATCTTTTCAAGAAAAATATATCCCAAGCAGTCGCATATAGAGCTTTTTTTCTTGGTAGGTTTTCGAAAATTTCTATTATCAATACATTATAGGGTTTTCGGAAAGTGGTATTATAGGGATTAAATCAATGAATCCATTACCTTGGTCAGTGTTGACAACTTGTAAAAATGAGTTAGAGTTAGAGTTTTGCAAAAGATTCTTGAACACAAATCAGTGGATTCATTAACTTTTTCGTTCTCAATTTCTGCCTTTTATATTTTGGGGTTTCCAAGATTAAAATGAAATAGGAGAATGACTTCACATCGGTAGTTCACCTTTGAACACTTTGATGTTTGAAACTTTCCGTTAACACTTAATTCCGTTGCTAAAATCTGTGGTTGTCATTTGAACAGATTGATAAGGCTTGTTGTCGTTACTCGTTGGGGGAGAAGGTTCGAGTCGCAGAACGTGAGAGTTTGTAGAGCAGTGCTCTGTCGTGTCGACATTAGTTTTTGTTTGCAAAGATTTTAAATCTTTTATCAATTTTTATTTTATTTAAGCTCCAACCGATTGTTGGTGATGGCCAGTTAAATATCAAATGACGTGTCAAAATTTTAATAGATTTGCGGCAACAGTTAAGATGCACTTCCGATTGGTGGATTTGGTGGGATTTTTTAATATCTTCGAGTACGGTTACAGTCAACAGTTAAGATGCACTTTCAGACGGCTGCGGTTCTGCGGTTCGATACCCCGTTTTATGCCAATAGCAGTGTCCGCCCATGAATTTTATATGAGATTGTTGCATCTACACCCTCTTCATTGTTTTGAGCTGAGGAAGCAGGAAAATTACCAAAATACCCAACTTAGAGAGAGAGAGAGAGAGGATTTTTTATAAATTTTATATATTTTTTATTTTTTTGCAATTTTATATATCATTTAATTTGTTTTCTACAATTTTTTGCCATTTTGTACTTGAGATATGTTTTTTGAAAACTTGATCATTTATGTATTTTTTTTTCTACAATTCTGATTTTTTGGTTAGAATATATTTTGATAAAAAAAAACATATCATTTTTTATGTTTCTTTTTGAAAAGTTGGATTTTTTGGTTAGTATAATTTTTTTTTTAATTTTTATCAAATTTTGTGTCTTTTTTTGTGGTTTGAGAAAAATATTGAGAGTGGTGGATACACCTATCAAATAGGGTGGATTCTAACCCACTGTTCAAGCAAGATATAGAACTCTTTTTAGGGTATTTTGGTTAGTGTAAAACCACATATTTTCATTTAAGGGAAATCTTGACATTTAAAAAATATTGGTATGATGACACCAGCACTGGTCGTTGCCCAAGTTAGACAGATTTCATGGCAATGAGAATGGGAAAACATCAAATGAAATTGGTTTAATTGAATACAATGGTTGTTTAATAGGCTGTGGAATCAATGATAATAATCTACATCAATAATAAAGGACAATCTTCACTTTATCCCACTTTACAAATTTTTATTTGTTTTTTATTTTATTTTCTAAAACTCTCCCTTATGGTACAACATATAGTACCTTCCCTCCCTCTTGTTTCGTGCCAGATTCTCCCACCCATCATTATTTCCAACTATACAAATAAATACGAATTTGTGAGGTGAGAGGAATAGGATAATTCCCTAATCATAAATTCATGGGGTTCACAATCGATCAATCTCTCACTTATAGCATTTATGCTTGGCGTGGGGCATTATCATTTAATACACAACCATTGCCATTCAACTAATCCAAATCAGGTTTTGAAATCTCCATGGGTTCTATCAGTGTGGCTTTGTTCTCCTCCTCTAGGGGTGATCATTAGGGGCGGAGCCAAGTATGTTGAGCCCCCCAAACATTTTGTTAAAACCAGGGAGATTAGGTTAAAAACATAATAAAGTGGATTCTTACACCCCCTTCCCCCCCTAAGGATGCAAACGGAATAGATCAAATTCAAATCAGGATATATTTGATTCGATATGACATTGTTAATGTTGGATCCGATTTGAAGATCTGCTTGGATTTGATAGGACTCGATTTGAATTCGCATCCTATCAGTAAGTCGAATCTTTGGATTTGATCCGGTCCAATTTGTTTTCTTTAAAAATTAATAAATTATTTAAAAAAATAAAAATATACTAATTTAAATAAAGTAAAAACAAAAAATGCAAGTATTTTTTAATTATTTTCTTCATATGTATACATGTTTTTAATAAAAAATAAATAATATAACAAATTTATAAAAATATATTTATAAATAAATAACATATATATGTATTATATATATATATATTTATAAATATATAATATATATCAGATCATAAAAAAGCGAAAACACTACCTTGACGATCATAAAAAACCTAGAAATTGATCTAATAGAAGCCTTATTCTTCAAACACATACCTACCTATTCTCAAAAAATTGAGAATAATTAATTCCATTATTTGGCAAGAGAGTTGACTTTAGACATATAGTTACCCATAAAATAAAAAAATGTCCAACTCCGAGTTAATTTATAAAAAAAAAAATTGTATTCACTCTAAAATATGTGAGGCTCATATTAATATTTGTAATTCAACTTCTTAGATTAAACCTGATTTAATTAATTAAATTAAAATAAAAAATGAAAATTAAATATAATTATAAGATAAATAATAAAATGATATTATTAAAAAAATAAATATGATAAATATAATTGCACCAACGACCAGTTACAGCCATGACCCATGATATGAGGAGATGTTCACAATACACGGCTGCAATGGCACTGATCCGAAGAAGAAGGGACGAAGAAGTCGCCGCCGCAATTCATTGTTTGTCGTTTTTCCTTTTTATTATTATTATTATTATTATTATTATTATTTTTGTCTTTTAAAACAAACTCATTGTATGTCGTTAGATTTTAAGAAACCACCTCCGATTCAACAACCGTTGACGTGTCGAAATATTTTCGCTTCGAATTCAAACGCACTAAATACGGAGTAGGAGTGAGTTACATGTGGACACGTGGAGATGACTAATGGATTCGGATTGAAGCAACTGCCATTCTCTTTCTGCCGCCAACAGAAACTGCCATTTCTTGCTTTAGAGCTTTTGAGCGAGGCCTAGGTCTATTTCAGAAGGGCGCCTTCACTGACCGAAGCCGAACTCATCGACGATGGTTCGATTGTTGTCCATCCTTTAAACTAGTCGCATTCAAAGAGGGCTTTAAGGTTTCTGAGATTCGTGGATAACAACTCCTTTTTTCGACCATCGTGAATTGCTTCTATATCCATGGTCAAAGCAGCGATTGGGGTTTTTTCTTCACATCTCGGGGGTTTCTCCTTTTTTTTTTGTTTCATTTTCTTTTATTAAAAATGATGCAATGCATTGTTACTTGTATTATCAATGTGCAGCGCAGCTGTGCAGGGTATAATTCGTGGTTACCTAGTTTCATCTCATCTCTGAGCTTCAAGCAAGGAAGAAAATGGTTTAAATTGCCAAGGTGCGAATACTTTACTAACCTGCTCTGAAAAATTATAATTCGCTGTGCAGTGATTGTAGAAAAAAATATATATTGCCCAAGAGATTAGTTTCCATCTAAATAAAATATAACCGTATTTGCACGTTCTATTAACTAAATTTGTTGGGTTTCTTAAAATAATAATAAAAAGAGATAAAAAAATGTGCATTCCATAACTCATACAGCTTAAAAATTGGGAGAGAAAAAGTAGGGCTGGGCAATGAATTGAAGTTGATTATTTGAACTCAAGGATGAATAGTTATGTGGAAAACAAAATATCAGGATGCTGCAGGCTTCAAAGTCAAAGCTCCACAAAAGTTGAATGTTGGTGCACTTGATAGGACGAACTCCTTGCCCTGCATCTAAACATTGATGATTCTGTTGAAAGGGACAACTTGTTTGGACTTTGGAGGAGGTTTGGCAAAGGAACTTAGAAAAGGAACAACAGGAAAAAAAGAAAAACCTTGGGATGATGGGCCCAAATCCTCTTATCTGGATTTGAAGGGTCCAACCAAACATTATCAAGGGGGCAAAGCAGATTAGACAAACACTCAACATTTTCATCCCTTAACCCTCTATGGAAACTAAAGTTCCAAGTCAAAGCTGACAGATTTAACAAATAAGAAAGGAATTTTGAAACCACCTCTTTTTTTATACAAAGAAACAGAAAACAAGGATGGAAAAAGGTCTTTTAGGCGAAGATCTTCAATCCAAGTGTCCTCCCAAAACCGGATAGAATTACCAGAACAAACATCATACCTGACACAACTAAGAAACTGCGGGAGAAGTTTATGAATTGCCTTCCATGGTGTTGTTAGGCTAGCTCTCCTTGATGCACTAGCATCCCATCCATTCTTTGAGCATCCATGAATACTCTTCACCATTTCATGCCAAAGCCTCTCTCACTCCAAAGGCCATTGCCACAACCACTTCCTTAGCAATGCCAAATTCTTTTTAACCACATTACCTAGACTTAATCTCCCTTCCTCTTTGCTTCAACCCACAACCTCCCATCTAATTAAGTGATCTTTTTTACCTCTGTCCTTGGGATACCACCTAGGGAAGCAAAGAAGTTAGAAAATATGATGAGAGATTTCCAAAGAGACCGGGAGAAGAGGTAGTAAGTAGGTAGATTCATGAGGGTAGCTCCTATCAAAGTGATCCTACCACCCAAAGAGATATAATTCTTCTTCCACAAAGCTAACCTCTTCTCAAGCTTCTCTATGACTTGAATCCAGAACCTACTTTCCGTCTCTCCTTAGGGTTTGCCCCTAATGGAAGCCCTAAATGGGACATAGGCCAAGAGGATATAGAATACTCAAGACAATCTGTAACAACCTCAATCTCCACAATCTCCAAATTGATTCCCACTATGCAGCTTTTTTTCTAGATTGATTTTCAACTTGGAGATTCCTTCAAAGGCTCTAATAATCTCCTTCAGGTTTCCCACCTTCTCATTATAGCCTCCATCACAGAAAATCACCAAATCATCTACAAACTGAAGATGAGTATTTGGAATTCGGTTTCTGCCTATTCTCCATCCCCTTATAACATCTTCTCTATCAGACCTAGTGATAATTCGATTGAACACATCAGTTAATAGGGTAAAAAGGAAAGGTGAAAGTCAACCCCCTTGTCTAATACCCCTATAGGCTGGAAAAAAATCCCTTACCACCCCATTTACTAGGATGAAGTAATGGCAAGTGCTAACACAACCAAACTAACATCCAACTACACCACCTTTCCTCGAACCCACATTTCCTCAAGACCTCTATTAGGAACTGCCAATCCACCAAGCCATAGGCTTTCTCAAGATTTAGCTTGCATACAAAGCCTCTATGCTTGGATTTCTTCATCTCCTCCACACCTCCATTGGCAATCAAGATCAGATCAGTTATTTGTTGTCCTCAAATGAACCCCTTGTGCTTGACCAATGATGGAGGGAAGGGCTTCTTAATTCCATAAAGAAAGAACCTTGGCTAGAATTTTATAATACTTGTTATGAAACTAATTGGCCTGAAGTATTTAGGATGTATAACATCAGGTTTCTTTTGGATTAGATCCAAGAAAGTATCATTGATTCCATGGCTGACTATGTGCTTATTTGCAAAATCCTTAAAGACATCATACAGATCATTTTTTATCACTTCCTAGAAATCATGGTAAAAAGCCATTGTAAAACCATCTAGGCCTGGAACTTTAGATCTATCCATTAAGAACATCTCCTGTCTAATCTCTTCTTCCTCAAAATTCCTTTCCAACCACATCTTCTCTTCATCCAATCTTGGCCAATTTACCCCTTCTATTTCTAACCTTTCATTCAGGGGTCTTCTATAAATTGATTTAAAGTGGTCCACAAACTTCCTAGCAATATCATCCTGATTAGTAAACACATCCCTTCCTACCTCTAATTTAGACAGAAAGTTGTTTCTCCTCCTTCCAATTGTCACATCATGAAAGAACTTAGTATTTCCGTCACCTTCCTTAATCCACTTGTGCCTTGATTTCTGCCTCCAACTTATTTCTTCTCTTAGAAGTACCTCTTCCAAGTCCTTCAATTGTCTCCTCAAATCTCTATCATCCTCAGCCAAATTAGCTTGAAATTCTTTCTCATCCAACTCTTCCAAAATGGTCCCTATTCCACCATTTTATTTTGGATCTTAGCCTCTACTGTTTCTTGTGAAATCTTACCCCTTTCTACTTTATCCCCTTCAATTCCTCATTCCACCAAATCTTTACTCTATTCACAAAGTTCTGGTGGGTTAACTACATGTTCTCAAACCTAAACTGTCTAGCTCCATTGATAAAATCTTCCAAACCTATTGTTATAGGACAATGATCCGAAATTACCCTAGGCAAAGCTCTAGACACCAAGTTTCCCCAATAATTTCCCAAGATAAGTTAAAGATAAGTCTATCCAACTTTGACCATAGAGGGGTTTCCTGTAGGTTAGACCAAGTATGTGTTTGGTTCCGTTTACATTTATTTAGTAAACGATGCCACATAGACGCCCCATCAGCAAAGGCCTCATTAATTGCATCCGTACGTATCGATGTTTGTAAAAGCAAACATCAATTTCTGTGTGCCTCTCCTGTTTCAGGAATCTACATTTTGGAGCTTCCTGAAACGGGTAGGCGTTTATTGGCACTTTGCTGATGTGGTGCCTAATGGCGCCCATGTGTCATAAACGCCCTCATTAATTGCTTTTCTCGGTTTTGCAGCCACACAAGTACAAAACGTTTACTCGATAAACGCAAATGGAACCAAACACCCTCCAAGTGAGTCTATCTTGTAAAAAGTGGAATTTCCTCTAACTCACAATTGACAATAAAGCTTTTAAACTTCCTCGTGCTAGTTGTAATGGACTTTTGGGAATTACTAGTTTCTTCAGAAAATTGTATAACATTGAAATCCCCTCCCAAACACCACAGACCTTCCCATAAACCCTGAATTACATATAACTCATCCAACATATCATTCCTTTATCTATAGTTATTATTGGGACCATAGGCAACAACCAAGTCATAAAAATGATCTTTTCCTAGTTGTTACAAAATTTAGAGAACTTTAGGCCATCAAACTCCTTCAAGATGGAAGACTAGAAAAATATCATGTATTCACCTTTCCCATACCGGCATTGATGTTGTGTCTTTCTGGGGAAAAAACTAAAGTTTCTTTCTTGATGCACCAGCAGATAGTGAAGGGCACAATTCTATTACATACGACCTTGCTTGCTAAAACCCCTAAGAAACCAAGATAAAAATGGCATGTTGACAGGTATAAACCCAATTTGTCAACCATTCTGGAAATAGCATAGAAAAGTCTTGTCTCCCAACAGGAAAACTGTTCTCTGGAAATTTTTTATGACCATTTTCCTGATATACCAATGAACAGAAAATGAAAAATGGGTTTAACAATAGAGCTAGATCTCTATAGAGGGGATTTATTTCTTCTGCGTACTAGAAAAAATGATTAAATTTTCTAATGATAGACTGAACAAGGATGCTTGGGAGTTGCACAATAACTTCTTGTGTGGACCCTAGCATAGAGCAATCAAAAAGTTGCTTTCACATTCAATTGTGGCTTGTTTGGTAATCATTTTGGAAGAATATGCAGTTGAAGCAATTTAATTAGAGTCATGGAATTATCTATCAAATAAATAAATAAAAGATTCATGGAATCCATTATCAGGAAAATTTAAATAAAATATAGGTGCTTTTGATGGAAAATCAGTATAGACAAGCACTTTCCATTTCACTTAGAAGGGAAAATCTGATTGCAAGTTCTGCTGCTACTGTAAATCAATTTAGAGGGATATATGATGTTGCAAATTTGTTATCATTATTTGGACTTTCTATGGAACCAGCTAAAGAAGCTGTTTCTAAGTACTGCAGACATGTTTAAATTGTAGAATTGTTGATATTGCTGTTATTTTAAGATAAGGTGCTCTCTCTGGTTCAGATAATTTGATAGTTCTTCATTTCCCGCTTTATGTTTTGCAGGTCTTATAATAGCTAGTGCTCTAGGAAGAAGAAATATTTCAAGTATACCATAAAAATCAAAAGAACTTCATCTAGAGGACATTATACACCGAAACTTGGTTTATGTACTGCCATTAACTAGATCAAATTTATAGTGATTAAGGTGATTTTTTGTTGGATAATATTTCCAAGATTTTATCTTCCTCTACTAAAGTTCCAAACCTTTACAACCATTGATTTTACTTGAATAGCAGAAGGGAAAGGACAGCATCTAATACTCATCTCAGACTTAATTCCAAATATTTGGGGTTGGCTACAATTATCCTCTCGTGCCATTGCCTGCTATCAAGATCCATGTTTTCTGTCAAATTATAAGTCCTTGAATCATTCTTTTATCATTTCAGATCATGTTTTCTTTGGTCTTCCCTTTGCTCTTTAAAAGCCTAGTAGCTGTCTGGCACTGGAGCTGAATTACAGGTACTGAATAATACTCAAGACTTGTTACATGCTTCCAAGGGATATGAGGGATCAGCTTCTGTTGTTGAAGTTTCCAATTGATCAAATAGCATTCATGGAGTTCCCGATGGCCATACATTCTTAACTAGTAGTCTATTGATACATCAAACCTCTTGGTTGTGAAGTTCTTTTGGTGTCTGTATCAAATGATTTTTCATCAGTTCTTACTGGTTGGCAGGAAAATGAGACCCATAAACTCTGGGATGACGAACTTAAACAGTCAATAGGCGTGAGCTAATTTTGGTCACATTTGGAACAGATCTGTGTTGGATGTAATTTTGGTCACATTTGTCTTACCATGTGATACTGTGCCCCTAAAAGTGTTGGTGTGCTGGATGTGTTTCACCATCTAAGGATTCTGTTTTTCCTGTTGAGGGAAACCTGGCATTACTTGTTGATATTGTCATTGAATGATGTTTCTGAAAAGCAGAATGGGATGAGGAGCATGAGAATGGTGTAGTTTGTCTTATAGGCAAGACGCAATTACCAGAATCTTATTATGAGATGAAAGGAGATGCTGATTCAATTTTAGTTGAAATGGAAGATCAAACTCAAGGAGGTTTACCCTCCAACACCGGATAAGTCTAAATTTTGCACAAAATACTGTTTTACAATTATTTAGCCATCTATTTGCAAGCATTTAGACACTTAGACTTGTGAAGTATTGTTCTGTCTGTTTTTTTTCTTTATGGTCAAATATTTTAATGTCATCAATTTATCAGCTCATTATTACAAACAGGAAAAAGCAAAAAACATAGAATAATGGTTTTCATAAGGGCTCTTGGTTAAGATATTGTTATCCTTGTTCATTATCAGAGTTTGATCTTTTATGGATCAGGTAGACTTCATTCTTTGTTAAGCAATCATCAGTAGTAAGATCTGAAATGGTTTATTTATACAAATAATAAAATATAAAAATCTTGATATTCTCAAATAATTCAGTTTCACATCAAGCCATTGAATGTAGTGTCATTGGGAGTTTAGATGATATACACGGTATGCCATTTATGAGTATGTCTGCAACTCAGACTTGAGGCCATGTGAATTGAACCTCAACTTACCTGCCAAAGGGAAAAAAAAAAAGAAAATTTAGCCTATTTTAGAGTCTAGGATGTTGTATTGTACCCTCTTGACTTAAGTTTGTCATGGAGTCTTACAACCTGTATGGTTAAGGTCATGCACAGGCTTATCAATTTTTCTTAATGGCCTTCTAGATTGAACATTTTGATCTGTTTCTCTTAAACAGTGTCCTGTCCATGCATTGGACGATCATTGTGTTATCACTTGTTCTTTTTTGGCTCCAAGGGGCTACACAACTGGGGGAGGGGGGTAGCCCCTCCCCCCCCCAAACCCAGGTGCAGGTGGGATTTGATCCCAAGTCTCTCTGCTACAACCAGCAGGAGGCCTTACCAGCTAGCGAGTTGGCACCTTGCCATTGTGTTCTCACCTTGTGGAGTGAGACTTCAGCTCCACTTATTTGTTTAATATTCTATAATTCACATTTTTAATGGGGTCAAGCAAGCTGGAGGTATTAAATGTGCAATTTGTTAGTCACCATGCCATCTTCATTCTTTACCTTATTTGTATGGTTGTGGCTTCATGGCTCTTGAAATGTCTTTTGTTGATATTTCGATTCCAGGTACCTTGGTTTATAGCACAACCATCCCAATCATTCCTCACAGGTCACAACATCAATTCCATTCTATCCATCTCCCCAACCTTTTGCAGTCTTTAAAATTTATTTGTTCATCTAGTTGCTATTGCGGAATTTCTTTTCTTCATACGGATGACATAACCATCTTGATTGACTCCTTTATCTGATCATCTAGTGGAAATTTGGAATTATTCTGTTTTTATATAACTATATAAGAAAAGGTTTCATTTGATTAATTTAGTTCCAGGTTTCCTTGGAGATGCTAATTCCTAGGCTTATTTTTCTTCTTAGACATGCATCTCAACATCTTGATCTCAATTGTGTTCAACTGTTCATTCTGTATGCTACCATGGCTAGCTAAGTTATTTTTCTTGTTCAAATTATTGTCAAATAGGTTTTCCTTTTTTTTTTGATAAGTGAATTATCATTTAATTAATTGAAAAGATTACAAAGATAAGGATCCAGCTACTCAGGTGGAGTATACCACCAATAGCAAACATAATCAACATATTTTGTTTTTGATCCAGAGCATGAGCAGCTTTACTATATAACCTAGGTTTATAAACAAAATTCACATTGTTCAAAACTATAACTACAGACAAAATCCTATCTACCCAACTAGCAAAAACCCAAGAATTTGGTGTCTTTCCCTCGAAGAGCATTAACCATCTTCTTTGAATCTGAAAAACTATTTAAAGACATTGTTATGGGCCTGGGAATAGGATCTCGTCACGGGTCGGTCCACGGGGAAAATCTTCTGTTTTCCCTTATTCCTCCCTGTTCTTGATGAACCTATCTTGGCGCCCTAATGGTGATTTGTCCAAGAGATCACCTAACTCTCCTTGCTCTTTTTCTTGACTGAAATTTTCGATGCCTTTATTGAATAAAATCAGCTCCTTAAATAGGAGATTACAAGAGATAAGAGTCCTACTTTTAGGAAGACTCCTTGCTAATTAGGAAGACTCCCTACTAATCTATCCTATTGAACTGATAAGATAAGATAAGACTGAACTGATAAGATAAGATAAGACTGAATAGATAAGACTCCTACTAATCCCTACTACTGAAAGCAGATAAGGCAAGAATACTGAATAGATAAGATAGGATGAGAACACTAAATTGCTGCTGCTGAGAACACTAAATTACTGCTGCTGCTGCCGGTGTCCACATCAGACGTTGCTTCAAAAACCACCCTTAGCTCAGCTTCAATTGGTTCTTTCATAAACCCCAGATTGCCACCCACAGAAGAAAAAATTTTAGGATTAGTATAAGAACAAAAGCCACAACTCCCTCTATTTCCGGCACTTATTCCACCATCACACTGAATAAAATAGCTTTCCATGCTCAGAGAGACTAAGCATATGCTATCCTTTTTTACAACATTTCCTGTGGGGACTAAATCACACTCCTATAAAGATCTTAAAGTTTTATTTACTGAACTGAAAACCCAATTACAGGACCTAGCAACTTCCTGAAAACTATATCATTTAGAACTTGCCAAACAAAATACCATGCCACTTCCGGCCATGACAAAATGTTGTTTAAATTAATCCTGAGTACTCATTCCCATATTCAGAATTAAATAAAAAAAATTGTTGCAAATAGGTTTTCCTTTGACTCATCTTGTTGTCAGGATAACCAGTATGAGGCTATTAGGTGATTATCACATTGACTGTGGAAGCAGTATCAAATTACAAGCAAACTTTACTGATCCATAAATGACTTGGACTGAGTCAGCATCAACTCGCATTTCTTTTTGGTGTTGTGAGGTCATTTATCTTTCCCCCCTTACTTTGATCTCTTCAAAATTCAAACAGACAAACAAATTTTTTTAGAGGCAGATACACAGTGGGTTTCCCAGGTCATGCCGACAAGAATCTACATGACCATCCTCCCCACCTCCAGGGTTGTCTCAAGGCATCATAGTAGCAGTCTTTACCCAATAAAGTCAGATTCTGTTTCTAATTTAGACTCAATTATGTCTGACCATTATAAAATTTCAATTCGTTATTTAATGAACATGGACGGCTACTATCATTCACAATTTTAAATTGACAGAGAGAGAGAGAGAGAGAGAGAGAGACATTGTTAAATTAAATGCTATTGTTTGTGAGCAAGAACTTAAAGAGATGAATTCATCAAAAGGAGTACTGAGACTGCTTTGCTATACCGCGTGCAATGACGAGGCCTTCTGCTTTAGACTCTAGTGGACAGAAAAAGGTCTTTTAAGCATGTTGATACTTGGAAACTTCCTGCAGGTGCATCGTTAAATACAGAGATCCAAATTCCTGGGTGAGCTTTAGTACTGTTGAATCGTTTAATATATTCGTAGTGTGTAAAGTGTAAACTATCATCACATCACTCGCCAGTTACTAAAAAAGCAGCCGCACCACTTTTCCCATCCAAGTTGCGCTCAGTGCCCCAGTCTTAGCTTTGTGTTATAGAGCTGCTGCTCCTACTTCTTTCCTTTCCACTTGCCAATTGGCCAATATATAGCCCCCCTGCAAACCTATGTCCTTTGTTCTTATGCGCACCTACTTCTGCCTCCTTGCCTTTGGTGTTCTATTTTTAGTGCGCATGTGATCGGATCTGATTCTGAACCCATCTGATCCGATTAAGATCCGAGGAGTCCAGTTATTTTTTTTTTGCATGTCAACATTAAGTATTCCATGCTCATAAATTTATGGTGTGGCTTGACCCTAACACTACAGAATCTGAACCGATTGCAATTTGCAAGCAAGTAATGTAGTTGTTTTAATACCAGACAATTAATTAAGCATATTTACATCGATGTTAAGGCATACTTGCAACAATATATAATGGGGGCAAAAACAAAACAAACTACAAATGCTAAAATGGGAAGTTCCGAATTGAATCCCTTGTTCTTGGGCTTCAGGGGGGCTTAAGGCTAAGGAATTAAATTTGTGGAGAAGGCATGGAGGAAATTGATCCAAACATCATCTTCATCCTCATCTTCGTCCCCCACGCTCTGGTTCCACTGAACTTGACAATTCTCTCCCACCTCTTCATTCCTTGCAAACCGACCTCTGATGCGTGGCCTACTGTCCGCTAACGTCTTCCTACATGCATACTGCAACAAGCAAAACCATGTATAACTATAACATACAAAAACAAAACACAAATACATTTGAAGAGAGAGAGAGAGAGAGAGAGAGAGAATGAACCTTAATCTTCTTATTGAAGTTCCTCTGATTCCTCTTGCTTCGGTATCTTTCAATTCTTTCTTTTCGCTCTTCAGCACTGTAACGAACAGCTTTGTTTGATCCTTCGGCACTGCAATTCTCGTGAGATAACGGGCTCCCGGAATGATGACTGTGTTGCACCGTACTAATGGCCTGCTACAAAATACAAAACCCAACAAACTTCATTATACGACCGAGCTAATTAGAAGAAAGACGAAGGGTTTAAGTGGTGAGCTAGCGCACCTGCAAGTCGCCCGTGCTATAAACCTTTCTCATGGTCATGGGACATGTCTCCAATTCCAAGGCCTCTGGACGAGATTCATTGAAAGATGAGAAAATGGGTTGGTGAAGCTGCTGCTGCTGCTGTTGATGATGATGATGAAACTCGTTATTTTGAAGTGAGTGACTGCTCATGCTTCTGTGGATGAGGCTGGGTCTCTGAACGTAATGACTCAGTCGCGCATTCGGTGTCCCGTAACTGCTGCTGCTGCTACCGCTGCTACCAACCTCTGATTTCAGTGCTGCTAAAGCGTCACGAATTGAGTCGAACTCGTAGCTGATGATTCCGCCCGGAACAAATGTTGGAGGAGATGCCACGGCTGGGAAGAATAAAGGGGTGCTTGCCATGTCCGGCGGGTAGCCGACGAGATTGGGGGAACTGCAGCTAAGCGCGTACAGATCTCCATGTTCATACATGGCGCCAGCGAGTGGGGTTGGTAGCGAGTATTATGGCTAGTTGTATGCTATGGAGTATGGAGTATGGAGAGCAGTCTCTCAACCCCTCGGCCTTTTTATGCACGAGGAAAGAGATGAGTTGAGTTGCACTGCTGCAGTGCTGGATGCCTGGACAGTGACGTGGATGCTGATGTATAGTTGAGAAGGCGTTGACCCGCCTTTGCATTGCAACTCGGACGAGTCATCAATCATCATGTCCATGGACCCTTGATTCCAGAGTCAAATATCCAGATTATAAATAGGGGCCGGTCTCGAAACTCGCATCTTTTAGCTTTGAGGAAATCCTGTCTCTTCATAACCACATCACTGATATCTCTCTGAGATGTCCCTTCATCCCGTCGTTATAAAATGGCTTTGAGAATATTTGCACAGTTTCTAGCTTTGAGGTGGTCTAAAAAAAAGTAGAAAAAGTTGAGAAATCAGACCCAAGATGCGTACATGCCTCCTATTCCAAAATCCAAATGCATGGAGATGGAGAAGTCTGGTCCAGAGACTGATACGATTCTAGATACGCCTGAGTTTCAAACAAAACCGACTCAGAGCAACCCGAGGAGACCCGACTGACCCAGATAAAAGAGTTGAACTAGCAATTTTCAGTAATCACTAATCAGTACTTCCTTGGAGTTGGAGTACTGGAGTTTGGGCTTGCACAGTGGACACCGACTGCTTGAGTTTAGTAGTTTGGGCTTGGTTTAGCCAGTCACCGAATGACACACAATGCAGACAGGTGAGTGACGCACTCAGACGGTCTATTTGAGATATGCTGGAGTAATTATGGTTAACAAAATGGACTGATAAAGGAATCGAACCATTGGTGATGGCTGGGCCTGGCCGGCCCTGGGCCCCCTAGGATGTTAGATTATGAGATAATAAAACCATCTGAGTGAGGGGGAGGGGGTACCAGTTGTTCACCTAGACATTCGGTCAAACAATGGGCAGGCAGGAGGGGCGCACTTTTTCACTGTAGTCCAATGTAACTCCATAATTCAATTGTTGCTTAGGCTTTATGTTGCCTCAAGACTCTCTCAGAGTCAGAGACATCGATTCGTACCCAACTTGCATGCTGAGGCAAGAAAGGAATAGGCCCCCACCACTTGCTCTCGCTCTCAAATAAGAAGCAACGCACAGACTCCGGATCTGCTACTTAGTACTGGCCCCTCCTTCCCTCCCTGCCGTGCTGCCTGCCTCTCACTTCTAACCCAATTAACCCAATTACATGCCAACAGCTGTTCTCCCCTCATTTGGATACCCTCTCAGCCTCTCTGACTACTAGGTTGAGGACTTTCCTCCACTAGTCTTTTTTTTTTTCCTTTTTCAAATTGAATTTCAGTTTTCTTAACAGATTCAATCTTTTTGTTCTTCAGTGCTGCTGCTCATCTGATTCATCTCTTCTCTCACTCAAGCAGTCAATGTAGGAGAAGAACTAGATCAAGCTGCATACAGCAATTAAGGGCAAGGTGTACCACTTAGGGTACTGTCTTCAACATAAAAAATTATCAACATCTTCTAAGCCCTGTGCCAATTATATAGGGTGGTTGGCCAATGCCATATCCATTGTTAAATTATGGGTTCTTAAGCCATTTCTGATTTTTCACTACTTAAGCTCATGTATTGTTTTGATTTGTCCCTTTGCTCTTTTAGCCCTTTCATCAATTCTTCTAACTAGTTCTGTAGTGGTGTTGCTCTTTATCTCCAAAATCCAAATTATCTTTTCTACTTCTCCTCAATTCATCATTTATTGAAATTATTCCTAGGTTTTTATTCATGGTTTTCCCACTCATCGATCTCAGAAGTTAGATTTCTATAACACAATTTTTTGGACACACTGTTTCTTGATTTCCAACATTTTCCTCTATACAATATAGAGATAATGGAAATAACGAAATGTTTCCTTGAGCTGATTTCTTTTATGTCAAGAACCGAGAGAAATTTAATTAATCTATCCATGCCTTCTAAATTTGCTACTCAAGGTGATTGTTCTGAGGTTCAAAAAGAACAAGGGAGAATAGTGAATATAGCAGGAAGGCTTCCACTAATGGCATTATTAGATAAATCTAGTTTTCAAAGTCTACACAACTTGCTTACTTATAGAGAAGTGTTCTTCTAGAGATGAAGTTGTGATCAAGGATCAAGAAGGTGAGAGAAAATTCTTTTCAGTTCCATCCTAGCTATCGAGAATAGAATTAGAGAGGTTACTGTATTGAAGAGCAAGGTAAGAGAAGGGAAGTGGTAGAAGAGAGAGGGGAAAAAGATAGAGTTTTGGCTGCTTGAGAGAGAGAGAGAGAGGGGGGGGGGGGTCAAGTGGCCCTTATTTTAATTGGATACCCATTCATCACTTTGACATAATTTAGTACATACCATGTGGGGAGCATATAGTTCCAATCATTTATTTTAGGTTAGGGATGATTAAGAAGAGGGTTTAAACTTTAGGCTCCATTTGGGAAGAGTGCAAATACAAATAGGCAAGGCTCATGAAAATGACAACACACTCTTCCCAAACGGAGCTAAAGACAAATGAAACAGATAGAATAATACTATCATTGCAAGTAAAACCCCAACTTCACCCCCAAAAGAGATGGGGGGACTAACCTGTTACGTTACAAGCTAGAAAATCCATAGAAACAAATTATAGACGTGGGTTTTTCACTTTAGCATAGAGACGAAACCCTAGTTTTTGCAGCTTGTTCAATAAAATCATTAAAGCTCAGTTTGGGAAGAGTATAAATACAAACATGTAGAGTGCAAATACATACAAAATACAAGGTTTTGCACTCTACATATTTGCATTTGTACTCCTTCCAAACTGAGCCTAAGATAAAAGATTCTGATCCATTGATATTTAAGAATATAACAGAAGTGTGGAGCCCTCAACTCCCAATAATAATATTCTAATAATAGAAGTTTGGTTCTGTCTTTTGATGATGATGGGCATGTTGAAATACTTTTAAAGTTATAGGGTTTTACCTAAGAAAAAATTAGCCAAGGTCCCCCAAGGGCGGCTCTAGCTTAGGAGGGAATGGGATGGGCATCTTCTCTGCTAGACCCACAAGAATCCTCTATACCTGTTCATAAGGACAAACACAAATGTTATAAGAAACTCAAATACCAATGATGATCACGTAGAACCAAGAGATATGGTGAGAGCAAATTTGGTCGGAAACTAAAAACTACCAACTTAAAGCTGAAGATGGAGCCATTTGGAGGAGCCAACTCTCAACTCTCAACTCTCAACTCTCTCTCTCTCTCACACACATACACACAATTCACTAGTCCCCCCACCTGGGGGCTTATGACCCACTTGAGTACAAAGCCAGTCGTCCAGGCACCCATTTTGACGTAATGCACAGTGCTTTCACTTGATCAACTTGTGTATTTCGAAGTGTCAGCCAACTTGGCATTAAGATGTCACATGCAACTAACAAGAAAAACAATCTTTTTTTTTTTTTTGGGGTTGGAGGAAGGAGACCCTTCGTGTGGCACTGGATTTCAATACAGCCTTCTGCAGATGCAGATGCAGAAGGCAATTTTGAGCTGCTCCAACAATTCATCCTTCTATTTCTTTTTTTGTTCCACTTTTTCTGGATCCAAAGACACCTTAATTCGACATTCTCTAGACAGATACAACCAACCCAGTTGAACCCAATTAAATATTTCCTGTTTGGGTTGTCGTTTTCAATCTGATTATGAAGAAACAGGAAGATTGAGCAATTACTGACCCAGAAGGCTACAGGACCTTGTATCTAGTTGTCTGAAATGAAACCACTAGAATCGAATCCCAGCACTCTCTAATTCAAGGGCTCATCATCACACATATCAGAACTAGTTGACTTGTCACTATTGACCCACACATTGAGGGTGGCACACCAATGGCAAACACTAAGATTTGACCTCTGCGACATGACATTTTAAAGTGGGTAAACTACAATTAAGGTATAAATGTCCTCTTAAAACTTGATTGCTCTTTGTTCAGGGCTTCAAGCCTTTCCAAAGGGGAATCAAGGCCTAGAGACCAAAAATAAATCGTCCAAGTAGACTAGGAAATTAACAATTAATTAATTTTTCTTTTCAAAAAAATAATTGAAGATGCTCTTCTAGTTCTAGTGTATAAGAAGCCAATAAAATAGTGGGATAAAAAAGAAAAGAGAACTATAAAAGAATAATAAGCAGAGCAACCAAAGTATTCAAACTTTCCTAGGCAATTCATAATAATGCATGCCTACAGAAGTAAGGTAGCAGGCAATGATGCTTTCATTTTCTTGTGTGGAACATAGAAGGAAGTGGGTAGAAGGATTGAGACACGAGTTATTTTCTAGATGAAAAGGAAAACTTATTCAATAGAGGCTCGTGGTTTTGTCGATTGGGTCAACAACATAAATAGTATCACCACTAGAGCCGCTAAGTGGGTCTGGTATTATTAGGTTGTTAGTTTTAGATGGGAAATAATAAATTTGTGGAGTATGTCTTAATGGGTTTCTGTAAGTGGAAAAGAAGATTAGACCCCTAGTAGCTTTAGTATTTTTCTTCATTTGGTTAGTCAATTGAGGATTGGAGGAGAGCTACATTCTTCTTATATTTTGATTCCCTAGATTACTGATTCAAGTAAGAATTTTAGGGTTTGAAGAATTGCATTGATGGGCTGCCAACAATTCCTCAAGGTATATATGTGGGTACCCAGAGCCTGTGAGTGACTTACTGGGTTCACTTTCTGCAAAGCTATAAATGAGTTTAACTTTTTCAAGTGGCCTGGGTTTATACCTCCACCAAGTGCTTGGAGTAACTGTTGGGTATGCTTTCCCAGTGGATCTGTAGGATTCCTTCTTGTCACGGAACATTTTTCCTCTTCTGGCCTCGCAAGTGTGTTGTACTTCCTTGAGTACAGACTGCACAGGGCACAGCTCACGGATTCAATGTGGTTCAGTTTGGACCACAACTGAGCACGACCTTAATGCTCATATCCTCTTTTGCTGGAGGGTGCTCCCACTTCGGATCCTCAGTTTTTGTGGTTTAGCTAGGAGTTAATTCTTCATTCAATCTCCTTCCTGCACAGTTGGAAGCCAACTATAGTGTTCATGTTGAAGACACCACATGGTTTGTTTACTTATATCATCAAAAACTTTAACAATGTTAAAGATGCCATAGGTGTTGTTTTATCATAGGTTCGTTTATGTTTGAGTTATGGTGCAACAATTTTCATAAAATACACTATATACTTTGCCATTCTAAATTGGACCACAAACATGCAAATTTGGAAATTTCCTAATTCCTTTGCTATTGGTCCAACAAAGAGCTAGTAGAGCCTTGAGGTGGATGGATTAGCTGAACTTAATGGATGTGTGATGCAGGAGCTGAAGAGTCAAAATTGGAATTTTATGATGTTTCATGTATTTCTGTGTTTTTGGACAGTAGGGGTATTTTTGTCATTTTTGTACTTTCTGTGGGGTCCAATGCTAGGATTTATATAAATTGTCTAGTTATAGTTTGTTTATGTTTAAAATTTCAGAGTCATTACATAAGTAGGATTAGAGTTATTGAGTCTTCTTTGAATTGAAATAGGATATGACAGGTTAGTTTGAATTCTACTAGGATTATTATGAGTCTAACAGTTTGACTCCTAGGATTATTATGAATTTCGAGTCTATAAATGTGTAAGAACGTTTTACACAAAGGCAATGAATTATATTGAGTTTTCTTGAGCTTATGCTAGCTATGGTGAGTGATTCCCATGCCCTAGAGTGGTTATAGGCACCCTGTGAATGATTCCAAGTATTTTTCTCTCTTCTTTCTCTCCTTATTTTCTCTCTTATTCCTTCAAGAAGCCATTACAGCCATTGACAACCATAAAACTCTGATCAAGAAGACCATTCAACATTCTCTGAGCTGGTCCTACATCAATGTGTAACCAATAATAACACCCCGTATCAGCCATGCATGCAAAGTGAAAGGTCGATAATGGTTGTGGGGCATATACACCTTATGGGATGATCATCATCATCATCTAAGACTTGTCCAAATATATGGAGTTGGTTACATGAATTCTGTTTTACCAATCCATTTTGTTAAGTTCTATATCCATCATCAAATTATGGGTGCTTAAATAATTTTTTACCACTTCCACCCAAGTCCTTTTCGGTCTACCTCTGACTTTTCTAGCCCCTTTAACTTGCAATAGATCACTTATCTTCTAATAGGCGTTGTAGATAATCTTCTATGCATGTGACTAAACCATCTCAGTTTATTTTCAATCGTTTTATCACCTATTGGAGTTAATTTTCAGGTTCCTTTATATGACTTAATTTCTGGCCCTATCTTTTCTAGTTTTATCAATTCACCCATCATTTACAACTTTGCAATTGCATTATCACCTTTCAAGAACTCTCAAGTCAAAAAAAATTGACAGAATAACGTCTTTTCTAGTTTGATTTTTTCCATCCAATCAAGGTCAGTTTAGTTCTCATGTGTGACTTCTTGATGTTCTATGCTGTGTGGGGGGAACCATTTGTTTTATGTCATCTTTGACTTGAGTTTGGGCTAGCTAGTAAATCACTTTTGGCATATAGGGTTGATATGTTAAGGGTTATCAGACTTGTAGCAAAATCACCTACAACTACAAGTTCCTCTTGCAATGTGATTTTGATGGAATACTTCATTATTTTCAAAGTTGCAGTAATGTAACCATCCCACCGCACAGTTTCAACATATTTCTCTGTCACATTTTCAACTTCTAGAAACATGATCTATCATCCAAGTACTGTTTAATGGAAATGACCGTCGTCGATTCATTGCAGCAGTAGTGAGATGTATTCCACACTTGTAAACAAGTGTTTGGTTGTGAACAAAATGGTGGTCTAAGGCATCTCACTGCAATGTTATGATGTTGCATATTAGGTTCTGTCACATAGAATGAAGGACACAGATGGTTTTGTTTGAAGGGTACTATTTTATGGTGTTTGGTTGCATAAAATGACTGTAAAATGAACACATAATAAAAAATAAGTACTAATCTTAGGAAAATGACTTTCTTTCTGATTTTTCATGAAGTCATTTCTCTATCAAAGATTCATCATCAGCATCTATCGAAATATGGTCCTGATTATATGGGGTCAGCTACGTGAATTAAATCATGAACACCTGAATTATTTTGTTGTGACAAACTCAAAGATGTAGAACGATTGGCAAAATAGAGAAACAGAAAACAGAGCAACCATGTGGAATTTGCCTCGATGGAATCCAATTCCTCCTCTACTTCTGAATTCCATGATTATCCGAACGCAGAACTGGTTCCCCATCCCAATTAAAGTTAGTAGTCAATTAACCACTTATTTTTTCGAGTCTTGTACTCATCTCAGTCGAACTGGTTCCCTAAAAGCTATTTGTTATTTAGGATTGTCATGGGCCAAGCTGGTGTAATAGATAGTAAGTGCCCAATTTACTGAGGCCTTTCTTTGAATGGATAGGCCCATCGGTAGGTCCAATCCATAAATAGGTCGGGCCTGGGCTTAACTTTAAACCTAGAGTGAACCCTGGATCAAAGTTATAGTCCCCATCGGCCATCGCATCGGTCATCCTCTAAACGGAGTGCAGTAGGCCATTAATTGCTACCTGGAAAATGCAGTGATATCATTCATACAATCTGTCTCTCTCTCTGGTCGTCGAGCATACTTCGTTTTTTGTTTTTTTTTTTTTTTTTATTGGGTCTGGATTTCTTGAACTCGATCAGAAGCTACCATATTGGAAATGCAATAAGATTGAGATCCTTCGATAAGCTACCATATTGGAAACCGAAAGTTGTAGTGCCAAGGATGCAGCCTTTTCAGTTTATCAAGGGATATCAGGGCCCATTTGGTTTATAGGAATAGGCCGATTCTAACTGTTTGGTTGGGTCATGGACTCATGGGTGGAGTGGAATCCCGTTTTCATCCCTGCTGGAATGTCATTCTCCATTTGAGGGGTGTTATTCATATACAAGATACATCCATATAACACTAGTTGGGGCTTGCCAAAAGTGTTTGAGATTGCTTCTCATAAAGGAAACCATTTGCCTTGGAGTCATCTGCACACCACACAAAGATGCCGTGAAGTTGATTACGCTCTTTGAGAGCAGTGCACGCTTCAAAGAAGCCATAGTCTGGAGACAGACCACCACTGCCATCGCTGATGAAGCTGGTTAAGACCTTACCTCCTCTGTAGCTAGAAGTCTGTGTCTCAAAGTAATGTATAAACTGGGTCACGGTTGTGCTCTTGTCATAAGCGTAAAATTGGAAGTTAACATAATCTATAAGATGCCCATACTTGCTCCAAAGGGCCAAGTAATGGTTCTGAACCTGGTCATCGTCGAAGGGGGCTATTGAAGCAGATGAGATTACTCCTTTCCCTTTCAGTATTGATATAAGCCTTCCTATACACTCGGCGAAGGTGTCGGGATCAGATTTGAAGTGCTCATAATCTATATCGATGCCATCCAAGTTGTACTCGTTGATGATCTTCGTGAGTGAAGAAACAGCATTTTGAACCCAGGAATCGATTGAAGTAGGCTGGAAGTAAGCAAAGCTACTGCCGACGGTGTCGCCTCCTAAGCTTAAAGCCACCTTCACATTTGGGCGGCCGCTCTTGATGGAAGAGACCCGTGAGGGGCTGAGGTTGTTGGAGTCCCAAAAGATGTTGAATTTTCCGTTGGTGGGAGAGGGAGAAGAGGAGGTGGTGTAGTCAATAGCAAAAGCCAGAATGAAATGGAAGTCGACATCGGGATTAATGGGGACATCAGAGAACCTAACGCCCTTAAATTCTGCTCCGATGTACTCTCGGAAGAGATTCGAGTTTGCTGAGGCTACATGGGCTGGTGGAAAGAAGAGGAGAGCTTGAAAGACGAGAAGACAGAGAAGCTTAGAAGACGCCATCTATCTTGAATCTTGAATGTCTATGACAGAAATTGGTACATAAAAAGAGACATTTATACATCTTCAGAGAGAGAGAGTAACTTCGATGAACCGGCACTCCAGTCCGAAGATGATGTAAAGAAATGTCAACAAGGCAATCTTTTGAGTTTTGAAAAAGCAACGATTAGCTTTATGTGGGGGAGTAGTATTCATTTATTTTATTTGGCTTTGTTTAATCCGTAAGGCTCAGTTTGGAAAGAGTATAAATGTAAATATGTATATATTTGTACAAAATTTTATATTTTACATTATTTTATATATATTTGTATTTATATTCTTAAGGCTCAGTTTATAAGAAATATAAATGCAAATATGTAGAGTATAAAACTTTATATTTGACATGCATTTGCACGCACTGTATACATTTGCATTTATACTCTTTCCAAACTGAGCCCACTCATTGATGGGCCTCCCATTTGGTCAGACCATTATATGAATAACATCATTTACATCCGCATGATTTTAGTAATGTCAAAAATGGGTGGCAATTAGAGGGGAAAAAAATCAGAAATCCGTTGACAAACTCAAATAGTTGCAATAGTCAATGAAAAAAAAAAATTGCGAGTGGTTCCTGTTGAGGGAGGGATGATGGTGATTAGGGCTGTTCATAAGAATGCCTAATTCGACTAAACCGATCAATTTGGACCAACCCAATTCGAGTCGGCTGGGTTTTCATCAGTACCGGTCGGTTTCGGGTTGGGCAAATATATAAATCGATATATCGGGTCGATTTTCGGTTTTCTTGTGTGAAAACCGAAACCAATCCGACCCGAACCGAATTAGTAGAGTTCCTAGTTTAAGTAGTTTCCTACTTAACTATAACTAGTCTTCTACTAGAACTAGAAGGCCCATTAGGCAATTACAGTTAGAATAGGCAATCTATCATAGTTTCTAACTTTCTATAATCTTTTACACCAAATAGGCAACCCATTAGGCAATTACAATTAGAATTCAATTAGGTGTCATTTTGTACAGGAGCAAAACCGAAACCGACTCAAACCGATCCAATCCGACTCAAACCGATCAGGTCAGTTTGGCCTATCAGTGGGTCGATTTCAGTTTCCACCTCAGGTAACCCGACCAGGTCGGGTCGGTTGGGGAAACTCCAATAACCCGACTCAACCCGACCCGTGAACACCCCTAATGGTGAGAGGAGCTGGAACCGTTTTAGCAACGAGATTCCTACACACTAAAATAGTGGGAATTCAGTCACGTATTACCAACATCTTCCCATGAATTTAACATAAATCTAATGTATGGGACATTTAGATATTACGTAGAAAAGTTTTTGTGTGTAGGAGACCCTGAGTTTTCATAAATTCACTAAAAGCATCCAGCCTGTGCTTTTTGATAAGACAATACATTTTATGATTCTTTTACCCTTTTTTTTTTCTTAAAATTTTCAAACTCATGTGAGTGTGTTTGTGCATATTGGTAAAAAACACCAAAGCATAACAGGTCTCCACCCCCCTCCCCCCAAGGCCCCAACAATGCAGAAATAAAGAAAGAAATGTGGCAATGCTCACAAAATGAGATAACGACTGATATTTTGTTAATTTCTAAATGTGACTCTATCCCATCCATAATTTCAGTTTTTTTTTTTTTTCTTGTTGAAATAAATATTCATGTATGGTGGATTCTTGAAACAAGGGAACTGGTTCCCAACGAGGACTTGAAGATGAATGAATGAACCTACTATTGGGTGGGTGTTAATACCTTGCTTTGTAAAACACATTTCTTCTACGTAAGTGGACTTCAAGTTGGAGCTTGAAAGTTGAAACAAATTTTGGATATGCCATTGGTATTACCTTGTGTTGCTGCTAAGGATGGGGCCGAGGGCAATAAAGTAAATCTATTTTTTTTAGTCGAGGCCAATGTATCTAATCCAAAAGTAAGAGAATATGTGGGCTTATAAGTAGGGAAGGAAGAGTGAGCAAAATGTCTTACCTCGGAGAGGGACACCCCTAATTATACTTGACCTTGCTTTAGGAGGATTAGTTGGAGGTGATTAACAATGGGCAGCCAATGCCATGTTGTCACGGGAGTAGTTCTACAGCGGAAGAAACCCGTGCGGCGTCCTGGCCAAGGCAGGCTAGGACAAGCCTTTCTGCGCTTAGAGGCTAGGAGTTGCCCGATGGGATGGCTCCACCAACGTCAGTAGCACTGGATCATGACCTCA